TTATTCAGTTTGAATTCTATTGCTGAATGTTTGTTGATCGGCATTTCCTGTTCCTGTTGTTGACGTCATCATAGTGGGCGACGTGGTCGTCAAAGTTGTGGCCACAAAGGAAAGTGGTGATGATGGCGACGTTGATGGTGAAGACGTTGGTGAGAATGAAGACATAGGGGAGTTGGATCCGGAAAGGTAAGAAGGAAGTAGAGAGCCAGATGACATCAACAATGCACTGATTGATGATTTGCATTCAACTGAAGTTTTTGTTGCTGGTTTTACAGCTGCTGTCGTTGCTTTAATAGCAGTAGCAGTGGTAACTGCTGCAGTTTCTACTGCTTTAACATTTTTATGAGGGTTGACGAGAGATTTTGCAACAAAAGCTGGAAGATCGTTGGATGGTTTTTTAACTTCTGGCGGAAGTAAGAATCTATTCGGTAGTAATTTTACCTCTTCCGTCTTGTGGTTCAGATTGAAAATATTCTTATTAAAGACCGGTGCCAGAGACGATGAAGTGTGGTTGCTGTGGCCGTAGTGGTTGCTGCCTCCGTGCATGAAGTTGTACGCGTACGCGTTGTTAGTTGTGTTGCTCTGCTGCTTCTTGTATTTCAAAAATATGTCCTGGTTTGCTAGTTTAATGTTATTATGACTGCTGTTGCTGCTGCTGTCTGGGTGGATGGGAACATTTGGATTGGGTGTGGCTAGATGAGACATCTCCTTCTTCATTAATCTTGAAAAAGGATTGGCCTGCTTCTTCCTCCAGTTGCTGGTGACCGGGGAATTATCGGATGACCCGCAATCCGATGGTTGTGCAATCCTGCCGTGTGATTGGCTGTGTTTTATTATAGCTCCGCCCCCTCCTCCTTCTGTTTCCACCAATGCAGGGCTCGGTGATCTCGTAAAATCATTGAGGTAGGCTTTCTTTGCACGAAAGCCATTAATTGGATGCAGTTGCGGCTGTGTAGAAGTTGAGGAGGAGGAAGACGAGGAGGATTTATCAACTTTCCAAACGGATGTTGCTTTCCAGTTCGCTCTGCTTGGCTTTTGAGCCTTCAGAGCTTCAAATCCGAGAATCTCTCCGACTTGGAAGTGGTTCCTTAGGTCATCGACGCTACCCAGCATTATGGAAAGATCGAAGAAGACGTGATCGTGGTTGCCCAGGTCAATGATGCCCCACTTCCGGTCCACGTGGTACACGACACCTTCACCGACGTTCTTGTGAGTTGGTTTGTTCAGCTCAGTGAGTATGGAGTCGACCTCGGAGCGAATCATTTTTGAATGAGTTTCAAAGAGAGTGAGCAGTTGAATCTCGTAGGATTTCTGTATGTGGTTGATCTTCTCGATGAAGTTGGATATCTCTCTATCTCTATTGCCGACGTTGTACGTTAGGACTTGCGGAGTGTTTTGGTAGTTGTTGTGTGGCTGTTGTTGTTTGGAGGTGATGAATTGTTGTTGTTGATGATGTTGATGTTGACCTTGTAGAAATTTTTGTTCGTGTGGTGTTGATGTTGCAATGTGATACTCATCGTTTGTGGTTGCCGCTTGGTTGGCATATTTCTTAACATTGTACTGCTGCTGCAGCTGCTGTTTTTGGTGTTGTCGTTGGTGTGGCTGGTCGTCGGGAGGGGAAGTGTCGTTACTTTTAACAGCAGCCACAAAACTTTTCTTCGCAAATTTTTCAATGTTTCGAATTTGTTCAATTTCCGGTAGACTCATTCTTCTTTCAGAGGAAATTTGTCTGGCAGATTAATAACTAAAATTATTATTAACAATGAAAAATTATTTATTTATTATCATAATTTTTTGAAATCATAAAATAATAATAAAATGTTTTTTTTATTATTTTAAAAAAGTTGTATGACCTTAAAAACTTCAAATTTTTATCAAAATCTTTCGCATCATTGGTCTTGTTTAATTTTTCATCTTGAATATTTTTTGATGGGACGAAGTTGCTAGTTTTTAAGTTGTTGTTGTTGTTGTTATTGTTGTTGTTGTTGTTGTTGCTGCTGCTGCTGCTGTTGTTGTTGTTGTTGTGGATGACGTCATTGTTGTTGTTTTTGTCGACGACGCCGTTGTCATCTTCGTTATATAATTTCCTTTGACCTTTCAGTACCTCCATCATGTGAGTTGTTGTTGTTGTGTTGTTGTTGATGTTTTTGTGAAATGTTAAGATGTTTGTGAAATGTTAAGATATATTCGAAACGAACGGAAATTTAAAAAAAATATTTTAAAAATAGTAAAAAACCGTCAAAGAAAAATAGACTTTTTATTCCACCGAACGGTAAATTTACACTCTCAATCACTTACCAAATTACTACCCACCTACTTAATCAATTACTAATCAATCCTTCACTCATTCACTAATCATCATTATCATCAGAACCGATATACCTCTCTATGTCTAGAGCCTATGCGAAATGACGACAAATTTTATTCAAGTTGAGTAGATATTAGCTAAACTTGCTTACCAACCGACTTGACCCGAACAAACAAAAACGAATGAAGAGCTAACAATACAGCTGATAGAGAGAAAGGTAGAATAATAATAATAATAATAATAACAATAATAATAATTAATAATAACCATAATAATTATAATTCTAATAATAAATACTAATTATAACAGAACTTAGGTAATAGTTAAAGATATGTCGATAAACTTAGGTATAGATTTTAAACATTATCCTGAATGTTTGAACGTTAAACATTATTATTATTATATATATATATATATATATATATATATATATATATATATATATATATATATATATATATATATATATATACAATAGTGGGTATGGCCAATGATTCATAATAATAAAAATAATAATAATAATTACGCCAAAAAACTTGCATTAATGATGAAAATCAAGATGGAATATCATGTTTATGACTCGAATAAGGGGACGCTGATTAATGTGGTTGCAGATGGTGACGACGTTGCTATCCGGATGATGACCTCAACAAAGATGATGATCTCAACAAAGATGATGACGCTTAAAGTGATGGTGATTATTACGTGCAAAAAATGATGATGACGACGAGGACGTAGATAATGATGACGACCTGGCAATTTAAATTTAGATCATTGGTGTCAGTCAGGCTTGCTTCAGTGATTCAGCACCTTGGTATGGAACCCTAGGAATTTTTTAATTATCTTCATAACTAAATTCATAATTTCCTTCAATATCATAATTTTCTTTGTCGTCATTATAATATTAGTAATGCTAACAACTGTAATACTGTAATACTATGGCTAATATTATTAGTAGCAGTAATAATAGATTAGTAATAGTTGTAACTGTAGTAGCTAGTAGTAGTAGTAGTAGTAGTAGTAGTAGTAGTAGTAGTAGTAGTAGTAGTAGTAGTAGTGGTAGTAGTAGTAGTAGTAGTAGTAGTAGTAGTAGTAGTAGTAGTAGTAGTAGTAGTAGAAGTAGTTGTAGTAGTTGTTGTAGTTGTTGTAGTAGTAGCAGTAATAATAAAATTAACTGTTGTAATACAGTAATAGTAGTAGTTTTTTGTTTGGAAAAACCATTGTGTAGTAAATTTATGTTTATACATTTATATTGAGTTTTTTCCTCTAAAGGTGTCACTAACAATTGCAAAAATAATAATAATGACATTTGACCTTTTTCGTTTCTAACTTCACTAATGTTAACATGTGGGTTACGTCGTTGTTAAATATTTTCACGTTTTCGCCATCAAATTTATCGCTATTTAGTTTTAGAACGATCAACATTTTATGACAAAATAAAATATTAGGTAATTTATTAAATTTGATTTTTAAAAAAAGTTAAAATGCCTAAACATAGGAGGAAAGGTTGGCTGATTTTAGAAATGTGTTATGATTTGATTGCCTCTTCTATTCTATGTTTGTGCTGTTTGCTAAGTGTGTGTAAACTGTAAGTGTAAAGGCTGTAAGTAAGGTAAGTGAAAATAATTTTAAATTCAGGACGTCAATTAATTACACATTCTCTGCCTGCTATTTGTTGTGTTTAGTAGTATTTATTCTATTTTTTTTAAATTATAAAATTTAGTTATCCTGTATTGTCGTATTGATCTCTAACATTCTAATCTTATAAAAATATATAAAGATTAAAAATACTACTTGATTTTGATTTGGTTTCGCTTTTGCCGTTTTGCTTGTTAGTGAAATTTCAAATCCAGTATTTAACTAATTACGTAAATTTTCTAATAATCAATCCAGATCGGCCACCTAGCTGTAGAAATAATAATCAGGAGCATGGGGCTGGTGGGGATGATAACGATGACTATCAAGATGATGCCATGAGCGTCATGAGTGTGATTAGTAATGCCTCTGACAACAGAGCAACAGATGGTTAATTAATTTCTTTAATTAAATTTAAATGTTTTTTTTATTATGAATTATCAAACATTTTTTTTAAATTATTTCGAAATTATTTATTCATTTGTCTTTAAACATATGGCTATTAGTGATTTGTTTATAATTTATATATTTACAGCATCAAAATATATAATTTTTCATAATAATTTTTGATTTATTTATAAAATTAATAGAAATAGATTACTTTTTTTATATTTTTTAATGATACTAATTTAATCTGAATAAATTATGTTAATTAGGATCTGATGAGTGCAGTGGTTGTATATTATTTAATAATAATTATTATTACTAATTTGAATAAATTAATTTTAATTAGGGTCTGATGAGTGTAATGGGGCCCTGACAGCCCAGGAAAATTATGAGGAAAAAATGAGCACTTGCATTGAGGGCATATCTCAAAAAAAGTTGGAAAAAAAAACTTTTACTATCATAATTTAGTTTTGCACTAGATATTTTTTTTTTCAAATTTCTATCATTTTTTTAATTTTTTTCAAATTTTAAATTATATACATTTTGTTAATAATTTTTAAAAGGCCCAGACTTTAAAAGAATCTGTTTTAACATGCAAAATGATGAATAAAATTGTATTATAAACGGTGAAGATAAACTGAATAGTCTATCCATTCTATTCTATCCAATTTTTATTTATTTATTTCATTTGTTTATTTATTATTTATTTATTTACTAATATTGATATAAATTATTCTTTCACCACAGTTCTAAAGGCAGGATAGAGTCATTGAAAAGTTTGAAATCAGGCCTATGCAAGCAGTATTCATTCTCCTATTTATCAGACAGGTGTCTGTATTTATATGTGTGTGTTTATATAGTATATGTGTGTGTATATATATGTATGTGTGTGTATATGTATGTGTATGTATTGATACATGTGTGTTCGTATGTATGTGTGATGTGTGTGTTTGTTCTTAGAAATCATTAAAAACTAGATAATATGACAAAATAATAATTATGTTGTTTTGTTTAAATCTTTTTAAAAGATAAGATATATTTATTTCAATTTCAAAGTCCCACTCACCTTACTCACTAGATGTTCTCTATGCAAACAACACATTCCACCACTAAGCTTCCACCATGTCACTCAACTGCCTCACTAACTGAACTCAGCTGAACAACCTGACCTAATTACAGGTACGTAACAGTCAGCGATGGGCTTGAGAAATGTCTGAAACGAGGTTGTGTCGAGGAGCAATTAGTTGCTGCTGACTGCATTTGTGTGCTGTTCATCCAGATTGCTTGCTCGCCTGCTAAAGATGAGTTGCTGAAATCCGTTTCTCCAATTCTAAAAGTTCTCATCAATGATAATGCCGTGTCTCTTCAAACTAGGTGTTCTGTAAGTTTTTTATTTGTTATTTTATAATTTGTGCTGTGTGTATGTATGTATGTATGTGTGTGTGTGTGTGTGTTGTGTATTTGTGTTGGCGTATATTTTACACACATGCACACATGTGCGATTGAACAACAACAGTGTGCTGAAGCTCTTGGTCTGTGTGTGTTCCTTGCTGTAGAAGAGCCAGAAGACATATACGAGACGATGGGTCTGTTCGAGCAACACTTCAAACTGTCTTTCAAGTCTATGAATAACAATAACGCTCAGCAGCAATTAGCACATCCCTGTTCCCAACTTCACAACAGTTGTCTGGGGGCCTGGGCTCTACTATTCACGTTACTCTCTGATAAATTCGTTTTGTCTTATGCTCAGAAGTTGGTTGGATTGTTGATGTCGTTGGTTTTGTTTATCGTTATGCTTATTTACATTTTTATTCATTTATTCATTTTTCCATCTCTGATACATACATGCGAGCATGGGTCTTCCATCCACTCACCTTTCTTTCATTTATTTTTCATTAATTCATCTTTCATTCATTCAACATTCGCCCTATTATTCATCTATCCATTCATTCATCCATTAATTCAGTCATTTATTCATTCATTTATCCATCCATTTATTAAGTCATTCACTCATTCATTCATTTATTCGTTCGTGTAGGTTCATAATTCTGGTGAGCAGTATGTTGAGCAGTGAGAGCATGGAGTTGAGAATCACGGCCGGCGAAACCATAGCACTTATGTTTGAAGCTGGTAGAGATGTTTCTGAGGTCCGTTTGTCTCTCTGTTTCTCTGTTGCATTCTTTTTTATTCTTTCTTTCTCCTTCTCTCTCTCTTTTTTCTTTCTCCTTCTTTCTTTCTATCTTTTTATCTTTTTTCTCAATTTTTCATTTTCTCACTCTATGTCTCTATCTTTCTCTATTTTTCCTTCTTTTTCCTCCCAACCAGACGGATGGTAGACGGTCGGTCATGTTCTTGCTCATATACACAATTTTCAACATTCAAAAAAAAATTAGTTAATGCATGTAAATCATCTTATACTATTCTACACTCCCATCCAAAAGGATTTTGATGACTGTTTTGAGGCGAACAAACTCGAAGAACTATGCAAGAAATTGAAGGAGCTATCCACTGAGTGTAACAAATACAGAGCAAAGAAAGATAAAAAGGTGCAAAAAGCTTCCTTTAGAGATATTTTGAAAGCTGTACAAGATGGCGAATTTGGCTCCAGTGAAATCAAAGTTAGGCTCTATACCATCCGATAAGTGATGTGATGTCTTTATGTGATGTTATATGTAATGTGTTGATGTAATATTTTTGTCATCATTTTATAAAACCTAATATTCAAAATTGTTCCATCCACCTACCTTCATGAAGATTAACATTCAAGAGAGTCTCTACCTAGAGTCCTGGGTTCAAAAGACACATTACGATCAACTCTGTAGAGTCCTCACATCAGGGATGAATGCCCATTTACAAGTCAATATCTATGCCATATATATATATATATATATATATATATATATATATATATAATTGTATTATTGATGAAAATCACAGCATGTTCAGCGTTAGTTAACTTCCTGTTCAACTTTTCGATTTTTCTAACGGTTGATCGTAAATTATTTTCAAGTTTATATACATACATATATATATATATACATGCTGGTGTTTCCAAATTTTTTTTGGGCGTTAGCTTTCCTAAAAAAATTCTAAATTACGTCATAACTTCTCTGTGATATATTTTATTTGTATTTTATTTATTCTTTAGCTTAAAAGTTATTTAACTTTTCAGGAAAACCCATTAATTCGAGATATATTCTCACTCGGGGAGCCAATCAATTTTGATCAGCATAACAATCAAAGAAACTCTAAACTTGATAAGGTGTGTGATGATTTACAATTTTGCGTGAAATCATTTCTTTCGAATTTAAATAACAATCAAACACTCTCCTTCACTTTTCTCTCTATCTGCCTCTCCTTCTCTCGCATTTCTTCTTTAATAAAAGCGTGTACTATCGTATAGTTAATAAAGCTAGCATTAAAATGGCGTCATTCCCGCCAACGATTTTTACTAACATTGTAATTATTAATAATTTGACACCAGGTTGTGTATAAGGCTGCTTACAAAGAGAGGACTAAATACAGATCAAAACAGAGGAGTAAGAAATCAATGAATTGCTATGGTGGGGACTGAGTCCTAAACAACCAATCAACTTAACTTACGTTTTTATTTTGTTCACGAAAGTTTCATCTTTTATCACCTAGCTCTACTGTAATCACGTTTTTTATTACTTTTGATATCATAATTATGATTAATGATTATGATTAATAATATAATTAAACTTAAATACATTTAATGCCTTAACGTGTGTTATACATATTTATTTATTTAATGTTTTAACAGCGTATTCAAATGATCCCATGTATTGATTTATCTTGTTTGAACTAGTTCTCGTTAGTAAATATTCTGGTTTGGTTTTTAAAAATTAATAAAAAAAATTATTTCCCGGTTTTTTGTGTTTCCTCGTTGAGTAGTTTAGCCTGTTGCACCGACCAAATCATGTCAAGTTCTTTGATGACGATATTAATGTCGATAACGTGAGCTTAAAATGTTGAGCGCTTTAAAATTTGGTTGCGATAAACAAGCCTTTTTCATTTTTTAGTTTAAATTCCATCGAATTGTTCTTGATTTAACGAGTGTCCTGCCAAGTTGACGCGAAATTTATTTTTCTAGAAATTTATTTTGACCTAACTTTTATTTTTTCCACGAAAATTGTCGACTTAACTTTTTGGCATTTTCTCAATCAAACTAATCACTGTCGATCAGTCTGTCCGTCACATTCTTTTTGGAATCTTGGGTTCATTAGTGATTAGTTCGTTTACTTTTACAACAATTTTCCGATTTATAATTAGAAAGTGATCCGTGAAATTGTTTTGCGTGAAGATGGCCTCAACAGAGTTTAACGATGTTAGCTTAGAAAATTTACAAGTAAACGGATTAGGAGCAGTTGTTAAGGATGCAGACGATAATATGATGGTAAACGATGTCGTTAGTAACGGTGTTAAAGTGTACGACGATGTTGACGATCTATTACAAGATCATAACTCCAGTGCAGGCCCCCGCAACTGCGAAAACATTGGGTTATCAAAAAATATCACATGTGCCAATAGTAATAATGACAATGCTGTAAGTAAAGAAGAATTAGGAATTGAAAACAAAGGTAAAGTTAGCAACAATGACAGCATTCTGGAAGGCCAAAATAATGAAAATGATCAGGTGGGGTCTGTTGATGCTAATGTGGAGCCAAGAGTTAAGAAAAGTGGTGTCAGCACTGTTCAGGTCACTGTCAAGGCTGCTAAAGATGGTCAGATGCCTTCAAAAGTAATTCACTTCAGCTATTTGTTACTGTGTTCTTATGTTTAATAAATTCTTCAATGTAATATCTGGAATACAAATTTAAGAAATGACCCACCAAAAATAATATTTTGATGCTTGACATAAAATGTTTTTTTACTTTCAAGGTAAAACCCCCCAGAAAGTGTACAACCACACCATCAGGGTCAAAAACAACAACAACATCGTCCTCGAGACCGAAAAGAGATGTTCAAAGAAAATCGGTTTTTGAGATGTTGAAGAATAATGAAGATGATGATGATGATGACCGAGCCGGTGATGATGACGACGATGAAATCAGTAAAAAACGCAAACTAAATGATGATGATGATGATGAAGATGATGAAATAGTTGATGAGTTTGACTACCATTTCAAAAGTTTGTTCAGTTAATTTTACATTCTTGATATTGATTAATAAACTTTAGAACAAACTTCATTATGTTATTTTGATGAATAGCTAAGTTTATTTTGGAAATGTTAATCATTTATGAACACCTATTACTCTAAATTATTTCATTTATTTTCTACATTTCATTATCTTTTTATTTGCCAGTTTGCATGTTGTAACAGATTCTGCATCTATGTCTGAGTCTGATTTTTCAATGAATAAAAATAATATTTCTTAGTCAAAGTATCAATGATGGTCATTAATAATCACTTAAAACTTTTTCAGAAAAGGCAATTACAAAACCGATAGAGAAGAAGAAAAAGACATCGACAAACATCAATAGCAGCAACAGAACATCATCTCACAAAAAAGAGGAACCAACCTTAAAACTCTTTGATGATGACGACCTCCCTTTAACAGGCAAAGTATCAACTGGCCGAAGTAAAAAGAAGAAGCGGCAAAACGATGATGAAGATGATGACAACGATGATGGCGGGGGCTGGCACATGATGAGCAAGATAACTGGTAAGATATTTGACGACGACGATGATGATGAGGATCGATACTACGACGACGAATTCAGTTCACACCATTATGGCAGTGGTCAATCTAAAAAATTGTTAGCCTCCTCCAGTAAGCCACATAGCAACTCAGATAAGATCTGGTCATCTTATGCCAAAAAGAAATTTAAAGTGGATGTTCAAGGCGGTCTGAAGTTTACAAAATCCAGAGGTGTGTGTGTGCTTGAAAATTTGGTTCATTTGTTGGTTTGTCCGTGTGTTGTCTATTGCAGGTGTGTTTGTGTTTGCACATTTTAAATTTTTAACAATTTTGTACTTTGAATTGTTTTTTTCTTTTTTTATTTAGTAAATTATATATATTTAAATGCTAAATAATTTCAGATTTTAATAAATCCAAATCTGTCATGGGCAGTGGTAGCAAAGGAGTGCATCAACAACAGCAACAACATTACCACACATCATCCCACAACAACAACAGTAGTAGTAGCAATTTCTTCGTGTCCCCACCATCATCATCATTGGCTGCATTCAATGCACCTGTGACCAACCTGATGGACAACGACGAACTTGAGAGAAAATCATCCATACTAAAAGCGTGGGAAACTAAACTGAAATGCCTAGACAGTGAATTAGAGGATCGAGCGAACACGATCAAAAGGAATGAAGGAAAGATGGTGAGAGAGGAGAGAAGGTTGAAGGAGATTGAAAATTCTCTCAAGTATAGAGAGAAAATTCTCTCATTTGACTGTCTCACAGCTAATAATATCACCAACAACGATGAGACTGATAACAAAACATCATCCTCTTCTTCATCATCCTTGCACAGCGTAGAACTTTCCAGGCAAAAAAAGGAAATGATTGACATGATGATTGAGTATAAAGAGTGGCTGGAGCAGCAGCAGCTGCTGCTGAGATCAAGTGACGTCACGCAGCCACTGACGCTACAGCCCTTACCACATGAAAAGCAGTTTAATGATGATGTTGTTGATAATATTAATGATAAAAGAAATGATGACAATGGTCTTGGTAATAATAATAACAGTGCTGATGGAAACAGTGGCAACAAAGTGGAAGAATTATTGCAAGAGAATGGAAATAATAATGATAGTAATAAAGGTTCTGCTAGTGCTGTTGTTGGTGGTGATGATAAAAATGATGGTGATAATGACGTTGCAGATGATGATAACAAAGTGAATAATGATGACAGTGGCCATAAGAATGATGATAACAATAATGATAATGATGTTGAGATGAGTGAAAATGTTAATGCGTCATCAGCATCATCAAACATGGGCTTTGGCGTAAAAATACCTGGCGGTAGTGATTTCCTCGAGCCATTCGTATACGACGACGATGTCAACAACAACGAGAATGATAACGACGACGATGATGATGATGGTGGTGATGATAATAATGAAAACAACAACATTCTTTACGGCAACGTTGCTAGTGATGGCAATGATAATAAAAATGATGATGCGGGTGATGTTGAATTAGCTGAATAGCTTAATTGATAAGATTGAAAAACTCCATCATTAACTCTACCAACTAATGCCATCACATTGTTTGTTAATCATCTCATTACATTCTACTCGCCAGTCGTCATCGTCATTATTATCATTACATCTGCAACACAATCATTTCATTTCTCGGGTAATGTTGATACCATGCATGTTAACATCACATTTACATTACCACAGTGAAATGGAAACACACACATATATATATGAACATGTATAACGAAATTTACATTTGTTAATTTTGACTTGTTTACGCCTCTGTTGTTTCATAAAAGATAAATATAATTATTTTCAAATTAAGATTATTAAAATCATTATTATCACCGTCACGGTTATCATCAGCATCGTCGTAGTTATTCACTATTATTATTATCATTGTTTGTTATAGATGAAGGAGAGGAGAGAAATGATCGTTATTTAAACGTCACTTACCTATCATTATAGCCATCCTAAACGTCTCTGTAGTTGTTTTATTTCATATTTTTCATTTATAATGGAAGTTGACGTTTGAACTGAAACTTATTTTCTGTATTCTAAACTCAAAGAAGAACCATTATTTTCTGAATATATATATATATACGTACACATATATATGCATATATGATACATACATATGCATATATGATACATACATATGTATATATCATATATACACGTGTATGTGATATATACATACGGATATACGTGTAGATACAAACACTACTACTACTATGATGATGACGACGATGATTAAGATGTACGCTAATATGTATGTAAATTGTAGCTGTGACGATTGATTTTAAGGTTTGTACGAGTACAATAGAAGACACCTTGCTATCATTTAGTTATCATTCAATTCAATAAGGAGTTCTATCGTATTAATCCAACTTTGTCGTCGTCTTTATATTAATTTTTTATTATTTGATAAGAAACTTTGTGACTGGTTATGCAAGGGGAATAGCTACGTAGAGTAAAATGATAACCGCGGTAAAGTATGTAACTTCCAGAATAGTTTCTTATCCATTTTTTATTATATATCTTTATTTTATCCATCTTGTAATAATTATTATTTTTGATTATTCAAATGTATTATTACTGTTAACTAGTTAATTAATTAATTAGAAATTAATTAATTGATTTCACTTTTGATATAGAATAATAATGATGATTAAAATTTTCCAAAAAAACATTGCAATCTTTTACATGAAATAAAATTTAAGAAAAAACTACACAGTTAGCACAGAAATGCCTGAGACGGAAAGAAGATTACGGAGAGGAGGAGAGAAAATTGAGAGAAGGCAACAGAATATAAAGAGAGAAAAAAAGAGAGAGAGTAAAAAAAGAACAGAAATATAGATAGAGAGAGAGAATGAAAAGAAACAGAAAAATATGAAGAAGAAGGAAAGCAAGAGATATAAATACATATAAAGAGAAAGAATATAATAGAGAGAAAAGGTAGCTAAAAGAGAAATAGACGTAAACCAAGCCAAATTTTATCGTGAATCGAAATTAGAAGAATGTTTTCACTCGGGGTGCCACCAAAGTCACCCAATAAGGGACCTTTCGATCATCTTCCTTCAGCACGTCTGCCGTCAATTCGTACGAATCCTGATACAAATGGCGGCGTTCCTATCAATTGTTTAACGTAAATAAACGATCAAATTGTAAATAAATTGTAAAATAACAATATAGGACAATTAAATACAATAGAAAACACTTGAATACAAAGTTTCTGGCTAGCCTGGTGCAGTTTCATTTGTAGGTTTTTATTATTTGTAATGATTAACAACTGGCTCTCTAGATCTCTTTTCACTGATCTATAACCTGCAGCAAGACAATTTTAATCATAATATAAACTAAATAGCATAATAGTAACTGTAATATAGATAAATTATTTTGTATTATACTTCACTGAAACTTTCCAAATTAATAACAACAACGGAAGCAATTTTCAATTTTAAAATAAATTCTTTTCTTTCAGATACAAAACCATAATTAGAAGACCCAACGAGAGTCAAATAGGGAAGGTCAGGTCCATTTTGATCAGAAGGGGGGTACAGCCACACTCCTTTAGAATGGACAGTCCAATTGGGTCTATTGTACTCGTACATCTTGATTCTACTAGTTTGCTGGCTATTTTTAACCTGCTCTAAGAATCGAGAAGCTATGTAAGTGTAGGCAGGAGGTATTGAACCCGATAGGCCAGCAGATTTATAAAAACTGTTTGCCTAATTGAAAAAATAGTGCCATAATTAACAATTAGATTAATAATTAATATAAATTATTTCTAATTAATTAATAATAATAAAATCGAAACCTGTGGAGCAGCAGTTAATATGTGAAAAAAAGATGACGACGAACGTATAATAATGTCTATATACTCGTCTGTAATGTTAAAGTAACCGGAGGCCAAATAGACTCGAGAATTTTTAGGAAAATGAGTTAGGAGTTTGGTTGTTAGTTTCTCATCTTGAGTGACATTCATTGGACCCATTTGAATTAGGGGATAGATAACAGTGTCTGTTTCGTTATGGCTTCTTTCATCATTGTTATTATCAATATCATTGTCATCATTATGATAGTTGCCAGTGTTGTTGTTGTTGTATGCAATCATGTATGAGTGTATCAGCTCTTCTACTTCACCTTTCATGTTCTCCCTGAACTTTTTGTTAGTTTCTTCATCATCTGTTTAATCATAAAAGTTAGAAGATTAGATCTAAGAATGATTGATTGATTGATTGATTAGATGAGATTAGAAAATGACCAATTGGTCAGTTGATTAAAAGTATAATTAATTAATAAAATTAAACAAGGTACATAATCAAGTCAAACATTAAGTACTCCCGTCATTAATAAATAACAATCTAATTTGTAATTACTTGATGTAATTACTAATTCATACTAAAATTTAACACCAAAATACATTAAGAAACACACGTTAATTATAAAATGACCCCAAAAAAATTGAAAAACCACTAATTAGTGAATTAGGAACGGCACACATTACCAGAATAAGGATGTGGCACATCTCCATAGTGCAGAGAGTCATCGGACCCCACACTGAAGGAATATTTCGAGATGATGTCAAACAGTTGATGGTAAAAGTCGGCCAGAGGTTTGAAATTTTTGATCAAGACATACCTGTCTTGTCTGCTGCTGAAGTAGGTCTCGCTCAAATTGGCTCTGAAGAGAATAAATTAAATTATTTATTTTTAATTCACATTAATTTTAAAAATTTTTTTTCAATGTTTAATAACATTTTAATTCTTAATGATAATAGATAGCTGAAGAATAAATCATTAAACCATTTCAAAAAACGAACACACCCACTTATGATGATGTGATCATCAAATATGTAGGCCTTGATGTGAAAAAGACCAACAACTTCATTGAATCTCTCAGGTAAGCACTTTTTAAGCCATCCTCTCAAGTCAGGAGTGTGGAATAAATAGAGATTTAATGAGCTTTTGCATTTTTCTGACTGCATTTTATCTAGTGATGATGAAGATGATGGTAGGAAAGACGATGAATGTGAAGATGACGATGAAGATGGTAATGTTGAAGAAGGAGATGAATGATGGTTGATCAGAGATAGAAGCATGGTTCTCGAGTTCTTAAATCCCCTACTGGCTCTCATGTAATCTAGAACAACCGTCACTCTCAACTTTCCATTGTCAGTTTTGTCTGATTCACGAAGGGCATCTTTTATGCTGTCAACCTATGTACATTTGAAAAAGTGTTTTAAAATTTTATTTTAGTGTAATAAATGAAATATTATTCATTTTATTTTCAAAATATAATTTTACAGAAAATAAAAAATTATTAAAATCAATGGCTTTACCAGCTCTTGCTCTAATGGACTGATGCCCAGGTATAATGAGCCTAAGAGAATTCTCTTCTTTGATTTCAATGACAATTCCTTTGAAAGTTAAAACATGAAAATTTAATTAAAACCATTCAGTGAATTTAGGATTTAAATATAAATTAAAATAAAATAACAAATATGAAACAACTAAATCATATAATTAGGATGGTTAGAGATAATCATTAAGAAAACTTATTAAATTAAAAATATTATTTTACTTTTAATTTTTCATGAAACTCCCTGGGCCCTTCAATGATTTCAATTTTGTTACCACTAAGATGAAATGATGGGGCCATCTTGCAAACCCAACTGAACATAGAAATTTTGTCCTCTGAATCAACAGCTTCGGGACCATTTGAATGACATTTTGATGAATTATTGGAACCATGATTTGAGTCTAACATCTTGTTTGCCGGCAATAGTGGGGTATTATTTGTATCATACTTGATCGGTTTGGTTGCATTATGAAAAAATGTACGGTTTTTATTGCATTCACTGCTGATAATCCTAATTAGTGTAAAGTAAAAAATAGAAATTAACACTTTTTAAAAATTTAGTTTAAATGTTTTTTAAATATTCAGGCCTAAAAAATTAAAAATCACTTGTCTAACTTACAACAAAATAATTATCAACTCAAAATTAGGATAAAAAAATAAATGAAGTATAAACAAAAATATGAACAAATGACTTGTGTGACCTGCACGTACGGAAAAATAGATCATTTTTACGGAAAAACGTTTTTACAAGCATCTGCATTTGCATCACAGCATCGGGGAGTAACTACAAAACTTTTTCAAAAAATTAACTTTTAAAAACCATAAAACGGAAAATTTATATATATATAAACTCATATAGTCATATGTAAAGTCATAAATATATCGAACTTAGTGTAGAATATTCTATATATATATGTCTATAATATATAGCTATATATATAGAATATTTTATATATATATAAATATATATATGTATATAGTATTTTTTTACGAGATCTAAGAAGAGTTTTCTGGAAATCATCTACATTACATTACATACATTACACTATTGATTTGCGGTGTTTAATGCTTGTACAGAATTTATTCCGGATATCCCAGCATCTATCTGACTATATGGAGAAATCAATCCCAATCCTAAAAACCCAATCTTGGATTTATACCTATCCGTGTTTATAACAGGTTTCATGCACGAAATATTAGAAACAGGTTTTCACAACCATAATCTCCTTTTAGCTGGTTGCTAGGTAATTAATTATGACGCCACAAGGTAAAACTTGATGGCGTGTAGACAAATTGATAAATAAGCAAAAAATTAACTATTCCCTGACCAAGAAAGTCGAAAATAGAGAAATATGGAGAAAAGTAATGGCGCAAAAGGCGTCGACAATATTACAGAATTCAACACTTATGAAGAATTTCTAGATTCACAAATTACATCCCTAGATCTGTATTATCTGGAGGTTATTATTTGTTATAATTATAACGTAAGCTTAATTTAATTATTATTAAACAAACTATAAAACAAATATTAAAACTAAAACACCCGGAAAATAAGGATGAAGATATAGCGAGAGAACTAGTTGAACTCGGGTACAGAGGAAACGGAGAAGTACTAAAATTAGATGATTTCGTTGCTAGAAAACAGGCTTTCGAAGCTAACAGGCTTGCTAAAAAAAACCAACAACAGTTAAATAGATTGATAATTAATTCACTCATTCATTGAAATTAATTCATTCATTTATTCATTCGTTCTTTCAATCATTTAGATTTATACTGTTATTTGTCCTTATCAATCGTTAAATTTATTAAAATACTTTTTACGCTTTTAAATTAAGAAATTTAAGTGCCCAATGTAAAATCCCAGAAGAATTGAAACTAATGAGTGAATTAGCGAAACGAGAAGATGGAAACAGGCAAGGCATTATGGCTGTAAGTATAAGTGTGTCTGTATGTGGCTATGTGCGTATGTCTGCGTGTGCGTATGTTCTTGTACGTTTATATGTTCAGAGCATGTAACTCATTCATTTACCTCATTTTTTCTCACTTTCAGACGATAATTTTCATTAGGGACTATAACACGAAAAAACAGGAAGTATCAGGTTACATAAAGTCACCTTCAAATTTCATTTGAATTTTTTGTAATTTCTTTTAATTTTCTGCAATTTATTTCTATTTTCAGGCTATATAGACTACGCTTACAGATTAAAAGTTGAAGACTTTACTCAATATTTCAACGGCAAAAAAAAACTAATGCCTAAGCTATCAGACCTCAGGTGAAATTATAATATTAATTAATTAATTAATATTAAATATCAACAAAGAATGATAATTATGATTATAATTCAAGTTATATCATAATAATTTTGATTATAACTTAAATTATATTACGATAATTATGATTATAATTTAAATTATATTATAATTATGGGTATAATTTAAATTATATTATAGTTTCTTCAACTGGGAGACGCAGATGTCGACGTCAAATTCGTCCAGCAACTATCAGATAATTACAAATAATCCGACGGGGCTGCTGTTCAAAAACAGGCGAGACAGGAAAATAATGAACGTAGACCCCAGGGTAATTCATAATAATAATAATAATCACCATGATCATAACAATATTATTAAAAAAATATTATTAATATACTTATAATTATTAAATAATAAATTGTTAGGCATTCAGTCCAGGAGAAAATTCAGTAAGGATAGATGTTCTTGATACAAATTACATACACGTCGTTCTCTTTGACCACATAACTAGGAGGAAGTTCTGATGATGATGATGATGTGATGATGACGTCATGATGACATCATAATTGAGTGATGCGGTCACGTGATAATGTGATTAAGTAGTTATGACGATTATGTGAGGGCGAAGTGATGTGGTTAACCTCTAACTTTTTTTTCTATAATTGTTACGTGATATTACAAAGATACGATAACATTCATACTTTTAATTTTGCATTTTTTACTATTTTACGGTTTAAAAAAAATTTTGCCAACATTTTGTCTTGTCTAAAAAACCCGTCTCTCTCCCGTTCTCTCTCTCTATATATATATATATATATAAATAATAAACAATGTTAGTAAAATATTGAAACGTACAGGCAGACATATGTACGTACAAACACATGCATACATTAACAAACTTAGATGGTCAGACGAAAGACATCATCATGCATTTGACCACGTTCATTCATTCCACCATGAAAAAATACACAATTATTTGCACAACCATCATTATTAATATTTTTATTGTTAAGGTTATCTTTCTGTTTGATTGACGCACAAGCAAGATCGAATCTCTTGCTGGGGGTCGAATTTATGGATGTGCTAATCTCCGACCATTCCATTGTTTCTTTAGAAATTGAAATATAATAACAGTCAAAAATACTTAAGATAATAATGATAAATTTATCATTATAACAATAGAAATGGTTATTATACTGGCAATACAAATAATAATACTTATTATCTTTACCTATATTAAGTTTAAAAAGTTCGTTAGATGCCCCATTCATGGTCATTCCTCCAAAAATATAAATAGATTCTGAATCATGATTTGAGAACATCACATGACCTGCTCTGGCCGATGGTACATTGCCCTATATATAAGTCATAATAATTATAATTTATTTATATATAATCATTAAATGACTATAGTAACAATAGTAACAAACATTAGTAGTAGGATTAGACCAAACTCCACTGTCAAGGTTAAGAGTGAACAAGTCATCAAAGAGGGATGTTCCAACCATACCACCATGCAAATACAGCAGATCCTTAATTATCAACATGGCATGTCCTAATCTAAGTTCTGGAGCCAGTCCCTTCGTTTCTAGAATTTTCCATTTACTATGAGCAGCATTGAACATGTAGACCTGTATGAGTTAATCATTGGATTAAACATGAGTTTGACTATTAATTGATTAATCTAATATAATATAATAATTTGATTATTGATAGCCAAAGATTATACTTTGTCATCTTGAACTGGATTGGTTCCCAAGTTTCCACCCCCAAATACAACCAGCCAATCGGAAGAGGTTGCTCCATTATGAAATGTTCTGATTGGTGGAGATGGTCCTTCCGTTTTTGCAGTATACCATTTTTGTTCATTAATTTCAAAAATCTGCAAAGGCACAGAATTCCCTGATTCATTGGCACCAGCAAAAACAAAAATTTTTGTTGGATGGCTGGCCGTGTAGAAAGCTGTGTGTTCGTATCTGAAAGTTTTATCAAGCATAATAAAATTGTGAAAAATTCAATTGGAATTATAAAACATTTTTCAAATTAAGTGAACTTGACCTAGCAACAAAACCAGTAGATAGCTGAGGGGTCCAGACTAGGGAAGTTAAATCAAGAACATGCACATCACTGCAGACACCATCATGACTGGCCCCACCAATTAAATATATCCTTCCATTGTCATTGGGCTCATTTGAAGGGACATAAGTACATGTATGACCCACCCGAGCGGAAGGAATTTTTTCAGATTTTAGACACATCCAATCACTTTGAGTACCCGCAGTTACGGCGCCATCTCGTTGAGTTTGCAACATTTCGGCAAATTTCACAGCAAATTGCAGATCGCCGACTGCACTACCGAGTAACGTGTTAAGTTTCGGTCAAATGTTTTTTCGTAATATTTGTCAAAAAATTCTTTATCAGTGTAAGTGTCGGCAACGCGAGTATTTTCTTCACCAAAATTTTTTTCCGTCTGCGCCTGAAATGGGAGCAAGAAATTTCTAGAGAAGTGCAAAGCTTGTTCTTGAAATATAACTAAAGAGACATCTTTATATCTTTTGCGGATGCAAGCCAGTGAATGGCGATCTTTTTGTTTTGACATTTAAATTAAAACATTCCTTTTAAAGTTCAAATTTATTTACTATGACATTAACAACGTGCTTGAGCTAGGTATCTAGGCAAGCCGTGTTGGCGTTGATGCAACATGTATAAATATAAATATAGTTATAGAAGAAGAATTGCTTTTTGACATTCTGTCCTGCATTTCTTAGCTTTTCATTAATTATTTAACTTTAATTTCTCATTATTATTTAAATGTTTTTCAAACAACATTGTAGAACTGTAAATTTTAGTGCAAAAATAGATGAACTGATTAAATTTGCGTTTGATTCAAACCTAGAGACAATCATTTTTTAAAATTTATTTGAATTAAATAAATTATTCAATTTAACAATCAAATAAAATATAGAAGGAACATGGATATCCATGAGAAGGAATGATTTTTGAACAAAAAATAAAAATTTTATAGCGCCTTTCGAGAAATTGTAACTTCCTGTAGAAAATGTTTTTGCCCAAAATATTTTAATCTAAATGTTATTTTAGGGCTTGGCATGTTTACAGGCGCATTTTGACGCTAAAATTAGTGTACTAAAATGGCTAAATGTAAATTATCTACTAAAATTTTGCCGGCCACTTGTGCTTGGTTGCTACTTTTGGGGTGCACCGGATTGTTCTTCGTTTTCCCGTTAGTGAATAAAATGATTAAATAAAATTTTTTATTTTTAGAGAGATTGATCCTGCATGAAGTAGCTGAAGAATGTCGATAAATCAGCTTATTATTTTAATTTGTTTGATTGATTTTAGTGGAATTTTTACTTTTTATAACTTTAAAGTTTGATTTAATGATTAACATTAATAATGTTAACAAATTTGTTCAACAATATTATCTGAGAATTGCATTTCTTATTTATTTTATAATTTTATATTTTGTTTGATGTCAATTTATTAAATAAAATTAAATTAAAAATTGCCTATTCTTATTTTTTGCACAGCTGTCCTTACCTAATGTTTGAATACAGCTACCTAATCGGCGTATACCAGGGCCTCCTAACCATATTTGTCATCTCCAACTTTGGATTTAGTACATTCATGGACCCAGGGGTTTACCCAAAAGGTATTTTTATGGTGGCTGCCATGTTGTAAACTCTTTTTTTATCAATAATGCAATTGATCAATCAGCAAGTAAATAATAACCCAATTGTACATACAATCATAACATAAACACCACATACATATTTTATATTTAAATCATTTTATAGTTTATATTTTTGTAAAATTCTACTTATAAAAATTAACGTTTTTAAATAATTAGAAAAAATTATATTACTTTGATCTCTTTCTCCTCTCCTAATTCAGCCAGCAATGAATTAGTGAAAGATGGTGACTTGCCTGTTCCACTACACAAGTCAGTTGAGATAAACAACGTTACAGTCCGTATGAAATGGTGTACAACTTGTAAATTCTATCGACCACCGAGAAGCTCTCACTGTAGCATGTGCGACTGTTGTATTGAGGTCTGTTACTACCAAAATGTTAATGATATTTTAAAGTGTTAATTAATCTTGTTAAGAACTAATCTCAAAGTTTCATTAAAGTTTGATTTGGTACTGGTTTTTTTTAGATATGAAGTAATTAATTAACATTAAAATTTGAGTCAAACCTATGATAGTTTATTCATCGTAATAGAAATGCAGGCAAAAATCCTTGTGCTGTGATTTTGTCTATCTAAAATTCAAATTCATATTGATTTAATTGCTACACATCTGCATCTTTCATCTAATCATACTACTCTATTTTGTGATGAAGAGTTTATTGATTCAATTTTTCAAAATGATTTTGTAACATTTTATCCTTAGAAATTTGATTTAAACTATCATTCCTGCCATCAACTAAATTTCCCTAACCAGGTTTTTGATCATCACTGTCCATGGGTAAACAATTGCGTAGGCCGGCGAAATTACAGATACTTTTTTCAATTTTTAGTATCTTTGAGTGCTCACATGATCAGTATATTTTGCCTGTGTCTAGTTTTCGTACTGAATCACAAGCAGGACCTCAAGACAACTGAAAATATTGTCTCGTACGTTTTCTTGACCTCTTTCAATATTCTTTCTCTTCATCATTATTTGTTTAAATTTAATAAATATTGTGAATAAATTAGAATAACTATTGCTGTCTGTCACTGTCATCATAATCATCATAATTTTTATCAGTATCATTGCTATTTTTTATTATCATTACCAACATTATCGTCGTCGTTATCGTCAGAGGCACAACATCTACTTATTCACCATCATTCATTGTCACTGTCTAATTATAATTGCTGTGATAGATAGAGGAATGTTCAGTTCACATTTGCTCACCTATCTTTGATTGTACGTGTTTTACTGTGATGTGCTATCTTTGATTGTACGTGTTTTACTGTGATGTGCCATCTTTGATTGTACGTGTTTTACTGTGTCATGTGCTTCATTCCTAGAAGTGATTTTGTTACTACAGCTGTAGTTATACATAGCCATGAGTTTTTAAATATAATCGTTATTGCGAGTTTTTATTGTAATTATTATAATATAGCTTACCTTCATCATCTCTGTCTATTCATTTCTATCGTCACCATGATTTCAATCACAATCTTTGTAAATCTTAACCATAAACATTATCACCTGCTCAACCATCATCTAAGTCGTCATCATCTTCATCCTCACCATCATTCTCATCATCTCAGTTATCATCAACATCACTATGTATGATAATAATAATTTCTCCTAATTGAATTGTTATGCGTGCTAATTATTACCGTCACCTTAATCGTCGTCGTAATTGCCACCATCATTTCATTATCATTGCCATATCAACGACGTAGTCATCATATTAATGACGTCATCATGTTATTAATGGCGTCATCGTCACAATCAACAGGATGATATTAATGGGAATTATAGGCCTACTTAGTGTGCCAATTATAGGTCTTACTTGTTTCCATGTCGTTCTCATTGGCAGAGGAAGAACAACAAATGAACAGGTTAGAACAGAAATTGAATAAATAGGTAGATGAGTGAACAAACAGCTGAATGTATTAGAAAATGTATGGATAGACGAGTGAATGGAATGAGTGAATGCCTGATGAATGAATGTACGAATGAATGTACGAATGAAGGAATAAAATGTTGATTGACATGTTAGGTGACGGGAAAGATGAGAGGAACTGAGAATCCATTCAACTTGGGCTGCTTCAAGAACTGTTGCTATCTTCTTTGTGGCCCAACATGGCCAGGGTTAGTCACATGGTTGATTGGCTGATTGTGGGGTTGAATGATTGACTGATTTACTGTATAATTAATTAGTTATTTGACATGCTGATTTATATTCCATTTGTGCAGATGAAAATTTGATAGATTTTGATGGTTAAGTGACTGCATAATTTTTTTTTAGTTTCATTTCAGTTATCGATTGATTTACCTTCGTTCTCCATTTATTTTTAACTTTCCAATTTGACTTCATATTTTAGTTTGTTACGTAAGTCAAGATGGACGACAGGATCAAAAGCGGTTTCTCTGTCATCAGCTGCCTACAATGCATCGGACAGTGTCGTAAAGATCTACATGGAGACCAGTGATGTGCAATTCAAGAACAATAAAGAATACAATAAAGTTATTTTCTATTGCTATTAACCTAATGGCCTTGTTTTTTGTCTGTTTGTCTAACTAACTATCTATCTATCTATCTATCTATCTATCTATCTATCTATCTATCTATCTATCTATCTATCTTTTCTTTCTTTCTTTTTACCTATCCTTTTAGTTAAGTTTTTTTTTCATTTCTCAAATTTTTGTTCAATTAACTTTTATCAAAGATTCTTGAAATTCACCAGATGTCCCAGATGAAGCAGCATCCATTTGAACCAGCACCACACCCGCCACCACAAACGACAGCAGCAGCAGCTGCAGCAGTGATAGCATCACAACAACAGCAGCAACAACATCCCTACAAACCAGTTCTTTATAATCAACAATACCATCAATATCCCAATGAGTACAACAATAGCAATCCTAGCACCAACGTGAACAACAGCAGAGAGCAGCTAGGGTCGGAGCTCTCCTATAAGCCAGTACCAGGCCAGCACCAGTTACCAGCACATCACTACAATAATAATAATAATACTGCTTATATGATGAATGGTGGGTATCCACATGTGAGGTCCCCAAACTACATTAGCAAGTTTGCGTCGATCAATCAACAACTGCAACAACAACAAAGCCACCAACATCCATCACAGCAACAACATTTTGTAATGCAACAACAACAACAATATATTCAGCAGCAGCAGCAACAACCACCACCACAACAACAACAGCAGAATTTCGTTCAGCAGCAACAAACATTGAGATCATCTCAACAACACTTACTGCAACAACAGCAACAACAATCACAGTTGGCTAATGATGTTAAATATCCAGCAAATTCTATTCCACACACAATCCACACCCAACAACAACATCATCATCCAATTCAGCAACAACAATCGCATCACTCCCAGCAGCAATTCATGAAGACAAAGAGTCCGGCTCTGGCCGCAAGAACATCATCTAAAGCAGCACAATCCTGTCCTAATGCTAACTTTCATCGGCCGCCTACTAACTTCACCGACGAATGTTCTGTCGGTTTGGCCGTCGCCATGCCAAATGATCCGCCGATATCTTTACCTCCCCATTCAAGAAACATTTACCCTATAACCTCGCTACCGAACGCGTCGACCGCTAACAGGACAAAGATTGCAAATAACAACGACAGACCCCAGTTGTATTCGGGGTTCAATTTGGATAAGAGAAAATGCGGAACACTCGATCGAAAGAACTCAGACATCACTGAGTACAAAGTCTGATTAACTCTGGACGATGTTGACCTATCCCCCTGTCGTCATTCTCAAATAATTTAACTTAGTTTAAATTAAATGTATTTATTCATCTGATTAATGCCTGAATTCTATTTATTTGTCAGTTTGTTGTCGTTATATCATTACAACATTATGATTTTTCTTATCATTTTTTTATTGCATACAGTGTTTGACAGTAAGAATGATGATATCGTTTATTATTATTATTATTATTATTATTATGATTGCGTTGAGGTTGATGATGATTGCTTTATTAAGTTCGTACTCATTCATAACTCATGATGATTAAAGAAAATTTTTTCTATCATTGTCATTCTTCTTTTTTAATAATGAATCCATCAGTATTATTTAACTTTTTCTCTCTCTTCTTTTTTTCTCTCCTTTTTCTCTCTCCTCTCTCTTTCTCTCTCTCTCCCTCTTCTACCAAATGTCACTATATACTTTTTGTCAGATAACGTTCGTTTGAGTTTAACTCAATTTGCTTATGATCATTACATCTAATGGAAGAAATACATCAATTATTATTAATAATTTTTTGTTTTTGAAAAAGTAATTTCATTGATCGATTGATTGGTTGATTGCTTATGAATTTGTATAATGATATTTGTTATAAAAAGTAATTTCATTGGTTCGATGATTGATGGATTGATTGATTGGTTGGTTGGTTGATTGATTGATTTATAATGAATATCTTTATTTTATTTCAGCTGAACTGTATAGCATTTTTATTCTCCATAAACGTTAAACCATTTGCTATAATTATTCATCATTATTCAAATTATTATTTAATACAGTCCAATCATTCGCAATGTTATTCTATTGATAAATAAATGTATGAATAAATAAACACACAATAATATCGACAACAATAATTATTATTATTCATTATATTTTCCTTACATCACATCCCTATCATATCAATAATAATTATTATTATTATGATTATTATTATTAATACTATTTTTTTAAATAGCAATTAATATTTATGATACTAAGGGTCTCTACAAATTTAGTTATTATCATTTGTTATCATTTTATCATCGCCTATCATATTTTAATTTTAATGATGATTCAAGTTGAATATTTTGGCTTACATATTTCATGTATACTTTTGCCCTATGTCTTATCATCATGTTATTATCTCTTGATTGATTGATTGATTGATTGATTGATTGATTGATTGATTGATTGATTGATTGATTGATTGATTGATTGATTGATTGATTGATTGATTGATTGATTGATTGATTGATTGATTGATTGATTGATTGATTGATTGATTGATTGAAGAACTGATAATATTTCGTTATAATAAATCTATATTTAAATACAATTTCAAATTATTATATATATATTTATTTATTTATATATATATATAATTTCATTGACCATTTGTTTATCATTCCATACATATAGCTGTTAAACAATGAACTAAGAGATAAAATTATTAATTTAGAAATTATTTTTATTCTTTTACTCTAGTTTAATATACAATTTGAAATTAGACAGACTGCACAACAGTTAATTAAAAAGAACGCTGTATATATTTTGCATAGGCGTGTAGGTGATGTGCTTTTTGTTTGTCTGCTTGTACTTGTATGTATCTGTGTTAGTGTGTATGTCTGTATAATGTATGTATGATCTCATATATATATATATATATATATATATATATATATATATATATATATATATATTTATATATATATATATATATATATATTTAAACATATGCATACATACATGTATGTGTTTCCATACAAGTTAGTTATTTTGGTAGATTAAAATCTTTATAAAAGCTGTTCTTATAATGTTTCAAACCAATATGTGTTATTTTTTATTGACTATACACTTACATACACACAAACATATTTATATATATATATATATGTATATAATCAATGAAAAATACTTATACTTATGTATGTATATTTATATATTTACTTATTGATACGTATGAAATCACATGAATGATTTATAGAAATTGTTTTCTGTTGATCATGACGATGATTCTTATTCATAACTTGAATTAAATGTTTAGGATCATGAAGTTTTATTATTAATATCGTTATTTCAGTTTATTTTTCGTGTAAATTTTTTAAAATTGTTCTTTATCATTGGTGTTTCATTATATTATGGCTTATTATTATTTTAATTATTTTACAAAATGTGTGTGTATATTTGTGTGTGTGTATATTTGTGTGTGTGTGTGTGTGTGTGTGTGTGTGTGTGTGTGTGTGTGTGTGTGTGTGTGTGTGTGTGTGTGTGTGTGTGTATGTATGCATATGTCTGTTAACCATTTTTTTAATTAATTTATAACTTTTATTGGTTATCATGGAAAATGTTATTCTTTTTTTTCGTCATATTTAAATATTAAATTTTATTTCGAAGAAAGATAAAAATTGTTTTTTATTTTTGTTTATTAACTTACTGGAATCATTTTAGTATTGCATTGTTATTAAGGTATTCTGAGTCCTAGAACGAAAGCTAGTGGACGCTCTAACAATATTCCCGTTCAACTTCATACAATGATGAATATAATTCTTATATTCAACCAAACTTCTTTTAAAATTTACTACTGCTGCTAATACTGCGGCTGCTGCTTCTACAGCTACTGCTAATACTACAATACAACGCTGTGATGTTTAGTGCAATACGTTCTTTACATATAGTTAGATTCAAATCCATTCTGGTCAATTTATTAATTTAATTGTTGACTTAAGTTTCACTTTAACAACGTTTACCTTTTTTAAATTTCTGAGTTGATTGCTTGAAAGTCATTACACGTTAAAAATGTCGGCTGTAGTCTGTTTTGCGACGTTAAAATTAAATATCTTTATAATTTTGATCAACATTTTCTTAATAAATCCCTTTGAGACGACATCTCATTTCCCGGAGACTTCGATAATTCAACAAATGTCCAATGAAAGCAATTCGTCATCCTCAGCAATTAGTGATCAGGATTCGGCCGAAGACAGCTTTGCCGTAACCTGGACAAACCGGATAAGGTCAACATTTTTTATTAACTCAAACTTTTGAGCTGTCTTTGATATTTTTTATATTCTATTGAATTGATTGATGTAAAAGTAAATAATAACAATTTTAATTACCATATAATGTACTCTGTACTACAATTATTGTAGCATACATTTATCTCACACTCCAGGCAGAAAGAAATTCAAAGACACCAAATAAACCAGAATATAATGCGTCATCTAAAGTTGTCTGCAAAACCCAACATCACCGCCCCAATCAAGCTGTCTGATGCCGACATGGTTGCACTCAACAAGAAACCTGTGCATTGTCCCAGAAAGCAAAAGCAGATGAAATCAGCCGATGTCTTCTGCTACATCCTACTGTCTGCCTGTTTGTATCGTTTCATTTCAAATTAACTTTTAAATTTTATCCATTCTGATATGAAAACTTTGTTTAAATTAATAATTTAATTTCATATTTTTATTATTTATTTATTTTCTTATTAATCTGACACGAAAAACTGTTTATGTCATTTCATTTTGTCATAATTTCATTTGATATCTTTTTAATTTAATTAATTTAATAATAATCTGTTTTTCTTTTCATCAGGTCATCTGGGGAACACTAATAACAACAATAACAACCATAAAAATGATTTAAACTTCGAGTTCATACTGCCTCAGTTCCTAAACGAGGATAAAGACTATTTGACCAACATCCAACATGCTAAATTATTTCTCAAGAAATATCGTTGGTCCATTTGATGATGTTTTCTATATTTGTAAAGTTACTTAACATCGTTATAAATATTAATAATAATTTATGTATTTTATATAATTAATAATTATTAATAGTAATAATTATTTTATTAGTAGTAATAATAATATTTAATTGTGAAACAAAGTTGAAAATCTGTGTTTTAAGATTAACTAAGATTAACTAGATTAACTCACATTTTTTATACATATATTGCTAATAATTATTAAAAGTATTTTGTTATAATTATTGTGTCTAAATTAAAATGCAAGTGATTTGTAAGAAAATTGTATATCTCAAATTGACAGTTGCTAATCCATTTTGAAAACTTTGTTAGGCAGACGACTAACGATATCATACAGACATCCTCTGAAGGTCAAACTAACTGCCACAAACTTAAAAAAAGGAGGTTGTGAACGTTTAAATTCACTTTTAGATTTATAAACTTTACTGTTTTTAATGCTAACCGAAGTAAAACTGATTTAGTATTTAATGATGTAGTAGTAAAAATTATGGATAAGTTTATAATGTTTGTTGTAGAAATATGTTGTTAATTCGTGTAAGTATCTCTCTCTTTCTCTCTTTCTCTCTTTTATTTATATAAAATATAGGAAAAAATTTGTTCTTTTTCTTGAAATCAAGTGGTAGAGATTGAGAACAAGCTGAAAAGAGGATTTAGCAATCAGTGGCACATGATGAACATTAAGAAGTTGATGCAGTCTTGGAAGAGGGATAAAGTCCACATCCTGAAAATGTCTGTCTCCGTTGATTACTCACCATCATCATCTTCCTCCTCTTCCTCCTCCTCCTCTTCATCACCATCTCTTTCTCCATCTTTACCTTCGTCATCATCAGCGCACCTGCCGACGAAGTTCAGAATCAAATCTAATGAAATTTTCACAGACACATGTTCAACGAAAGGTTTCATTTCATTATTTTCATATTTTCCTTTTGGGATAAAGAATTTTTTTGTCACACTCAGTTAGATCCTCTTTTCATACGCCATAGTATTACTTTGTATAATTAACTATTCAAGTTTCATCTCTTAATTTATACATGACTTTATGATACAAATTATTATAGAGTTAGATCCCAAATTAATGAAACAACTTGGCACCCCCCACATCGAAGTGGTAATGGTCAGAAGGGTTCATTCCCAGAAACATCCCAGGCAGCAGCAGCGGCAGCTGCTGAGAGTAGGAAATGCAACCACACCTACTTCTAAATGATGATTTATTTGAAATTGTTTAACAAAATTTTGTAACTATGTCAATTGCCGTAGTCAGAAATGCATAAATTTTTTTAATTCCCCATTTTTGTTATTATCTATGTTCTTTTAACTTCTTACTGTTTATATTGTATTTTTTTTATTTCATCCTAGGAGCTTCTAATTTTGTCTTATTTAAAGCATTCCTTTGTTTTACTGCAATTCAACACAACAATTGTACATACGCGCAGGCTTACCTCTACACATACTTTGTTTCATCTCAATCAATTCTACACACACACGCAAACGCAAACACACACATTTATACAAGATTCATACACAGAAAAGCGTATTCACATATACAATCATGTGTGTGTAGATATTCGTACAGACAGCTACACAGGGCACTCGTACATCCACACATACAATACGAACAAAAATACTTATTTCGTCAGCTGCGTTAATTTGTTTCACAGAAAAAGTAGAGAAAAAGATTAAAACTGAATTTATTTTACTTTTTACATGCAATGTCTTGATGAAGTAATAAATACAAAAATGATCAACTATGTCTCCTGAAACTTTCAATATTATTCAAGTTTGAAACTCAGTTGAGGATGGTGCGATGATTAAGCTAACGGTATGATAGATGTAGGTATCGAATGGTAGATGATAACTTTTTCTAACTATAGGTCGAAAATTGATAAAAGTTTTCGTCGTATGAAGTCCACCAACTTTTCATAAGTTTCTTCTAATAAAAATCGATTTTTACGGACTTAAAAAATAATTTAAAACTCGATTAAAAAAGTTACAACAATCAACTTCATGCAAGTGAAAGCGTTTTTAATAATCAATAACAAATAAGGGCAGGCAGCACGAAAATATTCATTGCATTCATTTATTTCAGCAAACAGTAATGAAAAAAATGGCACAACATTTAATCTATGACTTAATTTTACTTTAGAATAAAACGTTTATGAGGTTTCAAGTTGTATACATAAGCAAACATACAAACACATAGATATATATATATATATATATATATATATATATATATATATATATATATATATATATATTAATTTGTGTGTAATTGGAAATATGGATAAACACATACGTATACATATGGAATGATTCGAAATTGTTTATAGAATTGGAATAAAATTAATATAAATAAACATACACTAACATAATGTGACGCGTGTCACATTCATGAAAAAGTCAGTCCAGAGTATTAAAAAGTATACATGTATAAATGTATGTGTGTGTGTGTGTGTGTATGTACGTGTGTGTGTTAGTCATTCAATCATTTCGGCAGCACACATGAATATGTTTGTCTCTCTTTTAGGCTATCTTTAATCTTTAGCTTATTTCTTTCCATCTTTATTCTGTTATGTTTAAAAAATATGTATATGTATGTACGTACGTATAACACACTTACACACTTTAGGCCTACGTACATATGGGCCAAAAAGCGAAAATATTAACTTGAAAATTCATCTATTTCGGTAACAAAACATAAAATGGCTGTTCAGGAAAGAGTGTTAAATTATTTTATCTATGTTGAGCAAACTTACTACGCGATATTATCCTTGATTTGTTATTATTTCTATGCTTCAGGGGTATCAGGTTGGGTGTCAAAAATATCGCTTCTGATTGGTCCATCTTTGAGTCACCTGATTCCTAATACATATATTAGTATAAACTATAAATTATATAATATATATATATATATATATATAGAGAGAGAGAGAGAGAGAGAGAGAGAGAGAAAGAGAAAGAGAGAGAGAAAGAGAGAAAGTTTTTAAAAACTTTTACCAAAGAAGATTTGATATTGATAAAAATGTGATGGCGACGAAAGAAAATAAAAAATGTCATGCTTGAAGGATGCGGCGATGATAGCGATAACAATGGTGACGTTGACTGTACTGTAAGAATGACGTGACGGAGTGAAATGACGTCACTGCAAATCAATCAAATCAAACCTGGATTGTCGTTTGATTGGAGGCACTATTGGCGTCGTAACACGTGATTCCCTGGTTGGCAGTTATAGAATCATTACGTAGGCTTTGGCACGCAAACATACAAAGATAAGAGAGTGCGAGAAAGTGAAGTGAGAAGAAGAATGAGATAACGAAAGAATGAAAGTTGAAAAATGAAAACAAAAGAGAACAAACAAGAATTAGGATGAAAGAGCTAGATATATAGATAGATATATAGATAGATAGATAGATAGATAGATAGATAGATAGATAGATAGATAGATAGATAGATAGATAGAGAGAGAGAGAGAAAAGGAGAGAGGAGTTAGATAGTTATCAACGACTTACAGCTAATGTTTCTCTCCTCCTTTGCATGGCTGGGGTGCCTATGCTCACCTTATCAACTATCTCTGAGTACTTCTCAGAACGTTCAGGCCGCTGTTTCAGAGTGAAATTAGTTTGATATTAAACATTCGATAACGGATAAAGACGATAAATAATTACATAGCAGCCTATGCATGAGTTTCCTGACAGTGAAATCGATCAAAATAAACTAGCACCTACATCATTTTCCGGGATGTTCTTTTTAGATAGCAGACGATTGGGCGTAGTAATACTGGCGGTACTAGTTTCTTTGCGCATTGGACTGATGAGTTGTGTGACACTCGAGATTGCCCTCTTCATTCCATTTGGAGTTTTATTCAATGAAAACACTCGACTAACTTTTTTACCCAACCTATAAATGAATGAATGGACATCTATCAGGCTTGAAATTAGCATAATTTATTCAAAAATGGACATGTTACAAGGCTTATTAAAAATAACTAATAGTAATTTATTATATTACTTTGAGGCAGCCCTTGAGAATGACTTTTTGCTGTTCAGATCTGATACGTTGATGCTTAACTCATGAGATTCTACCGCTGCCAGCAATGCTTCCTGGAAAGCAAGCAAGTATGTAAGTAAGTAATGATGAAGATGACAGTGGAAAAGTAACAAAAGATGTAATGATCTGTGTGAATGTGCCCGTCTGTACTTGTTTGTCTGTGTGTGTGTGTGTGTACGCGCGCATATGTACATGAGACGAGAAAGATGAGAATGAAAATGATGAAAACCAAACAGCGTTGAACGTTTATGCAAACATACATACACACATGTACACACACTCTCACGTACAAAATAGACAGAGATATACATATACACATACAAGCTAACACACACACACACACAGAGACATACATACACACACTTATATACTCACATAATCAGTTCGACACATGTTTGTACAAACAGCCTTGCTTAGAAATATAAGTAAATCTTCTTTGGAATCAATTTGTTGATTATAATTATTATTACTACTGCTGCTAGTATAATTACTACTATTACCACAGTAACTGGAGTTGATAAAAGTGTTATTAATATTGTTACTGATGGTTGTGTTGTGGATGGTGGTGTTGTTTAGTAGCGTCGAATTGTTGTTGTTGTTGTTGTTGGCGATGTTGAACGCATATAGTTCCTCATCTTCGTCTATCTTCTTCGTCACCAGTGCAAAGACGCCATTGCTGTCTGTTGCGTGCAAAAGAATAATTAGCAAGTTTCTATGAATGGCTGAGTTATGAAGGAAAGAGAGATGAAAAACATCAACAACAACAACAACAACGACATCAACAAAGACACACCAGTCAGATCACAGATATCGACAATCCTCTTGATAGATGAAAACTGAATCAATGCCACGTGTTTGTACGTTTTGTTGTTTCGCGATGACGGTGTCGACGATGACGACGACGATGACGACGACGATGACGACGACGATGTCGAGTTCTGCCTACTGCAGCCGCTGCTGTTGTGGCTGTTGAAGCTGTTGTTGCTCAGCAGACCTCTTCTCTTTTTGCATATCTTGGACGCATTTTCATCAAACGTCACAATTTTTTATCAAATTGTTCAACAAACCATCAGTCAATAATAATTCATTCAACCAACCATTCAATCAGCTAACCCTTCAACCAGCTAACCAACCAACCAACTAAATAACCAACCAATCAACCAACTAACAAACCAACCTCGACACTATCAGAGAATATGAAGAGTGTAAGATGTGAGCCCCGACCAATCAGACTGTCGGTAACTTCAGTTACGTCTACTTTCGTAGAGAAACTTCTGTGCGCTGACAACAAGCTCACCTAGTTCAAACAGTTGTATATCAGTGTTTGAAGGAATGAATTGAGTGAATGAACAAATGAATTGCATGAATGAATTAGTAAACTAATGAAAAACTGAATATATGAACGATGAACTGAACAAAATGAATGAATGTTTTTATTAATTCGTTCAATAATAGATATATATCTATATTAAAAGTATATGAAATTATCAAATTCCATGCTCTTCTGAATGGCTGGTTTGCTCAACTAAAGTGATTTGACACATAAAACAAAAAAAAACACAACGATATACAATCAAAAAATATACAAACAAACAAACAAAGCATAAATCAAAATGAAACAAACAGGGCAGTTTTCAATGTCGTTGACAATTTCAAACATGACTTGATGACCGTCTGACTTTCTCTTGTCTTCATTTATATGCCTACAACCATAATAAAATAAATAAATATATTAAAAATATACTATGACAAATTATATTATAACTAAAATAATATGACATAATAACGATAATAATGGCAACAATTTGAATAATAATATAAGTCATTTTCTTGCGAGATATAACATCAATGCTATAGTATCATCAAGTCTTACTAACAAATTACGCTATAAATAATAATAATTATTATCATAATAATTATAATAAAATAATATTATTGACATCATAACAGCTTCCAGATGGACGATAGAATCTTGCAGTAGTTTATAATCTAAGTGGCTCTCCTCTGTCCTCTTTAAAATATCTTTGAGTAGCAGCGTCACACTGGGCAGTCTTTGGACTGGCCTTATTAAAAGTTCAGTCAATGTTTGTCTACCGCACTCTGGTTTTGATTGACATAACTGGAGATGGTTTGAATGAATGAATGAATGAATGAATGAATGAATGAATGAATGAATGAATGAATGAATGAATGAATGAATGAATGAATGGGCAAATAAATGGATGAATGAATGAAAGATGAGCATGAACGAAAAATTATGTATTATTTAGTAATCGTAATTTATGGAATGGAATGTAATTTATGCATTTTCAAGATTACAACAAGCACTCACTCACTCACACACACACACGCACACACACAAACACACGTACGTACCTTCAAGAAAGCATGGAACCTAGGTTTAAACTTATCACAAAAATGTATGAACTCCTTACTCTTCTCAAAGTAATTAATGAAGTTGGGGTAGAATTTCATCAGTTCTTCAGACTGTCAATCAAAATATTCATTCAGTGATAGATGGATGGATGAACGAACTAATTTAGATAGACAGACAGACAGACAGACCGATAGATAGTTAGATGAATTTGTGGATGAACTACGCATAAAAATCATTAGAAAATGTGTGAACAAACACACAAAGAACAAACAAACACACACACACCAATACAAACACACACACACCAATACAAACACACACACACACCAATACAATCACACACCAAAACAAACACACACACAAACACATACATGTTTAATAAAGATGTTTCCAACTGGTAGATCTTCTAGCCAGTTACTGACGACATCATTCAGCTCGTCTCTGATCTGAACGTGTATGTCGTGGATGTTCACGATGCCACCGAATATCGACTTGACTTCTTGCGCGTCGAGGATCGGACCGCCCGGCTGATCGACTCTCACTAATTCTTCCATGAATACCTGGCACATGGTTGTTGGTAGTTAATTATGTGGTCTGACATTGTTGTTGTTTTGCTTGTCAATTAGTGATAACGAAAATTAGAAGTAGTAGCAAGAGAGAAAGAGAGAGAGAGAGAGAGAGAGAGAGAGAGAGAGAGAAAGAGAGAGAGAAGAGAGAGAGAGTAAAAAAAGAGAAAGAGACAATGAAAAAAAGAGAGACAGACAGACAGAGAAACAGCAGAAATAAAAGCAAAGATCTGAAAATACTACTTTGATGATGGTATCAAGTATGCCAACGTAGTTTCTCTCCGTTTGGTAGAGCTCTAACACTGTCTGCTGCCTTAATGTCAATTTCATCATTTCTCTACTATTGCTGATGATGTTGCTGCTACTGTTTTTGCTGCTGTGACAGCTGCTGATGTTGTTGTTGCTGTTGTTGTTGGCAGTAGAAGTAGTAGCAGCAGTAGCTGTAGCAAATAATGTTGCATTATCTTGATTGAAGTAGTTGCTGCCACTGCTGCTGTGGCTAATGGAAATGGTGGCGCATCCATTGCTGTTGTCGTTGTTATTGTTGTTGCTGTTGTCGATCGTTGCTGTTGTAGTTGTGGAGGACAAATTATTTTGAAATTTTGCCGTTGCTATTGTTGTTGATGTTTTAGCAGGGGAATCAAATGATTGGTTGAGATCTATTGGAGTTATTTCGCCTGAAAGTGAATGTGATGATCGTGGTGATGATGATGATAGTGGTGGTGATGTAGATGGTTGTAATGGTGGTGTAAATGACGATGCGGATAATTATGATGACGTCAACGCCAGTGAATTTACGCCAAAGAAAATAACCATTAAAAAACAACGAACCGATAGTAGGAATGGATAGATCGGCGGAAGTGTCAAGAAACGACAGGGACCCGATTGAATTTCTATTGTTAGTGTTGTTGCAGTTCAGGAGGTCCAGGGATGTGCGTTTGCAGGCAGGTAAGTCACATTCACCCTCGTTCGCCAGATGTGCTAAGTTGTCTCTAAGCCTGAATGTTCGTGTGTTTGTATGCATGCGTGTTTGTATGTATGTATGTGTGTTCGTTTGTATGTATGTGTATAATACGTTGATGTGGATATGTTGGTACATGGTGTGTGTGTGTGGGTGTGTGTGTGTTTATTGCAAGTACAATTATGCTGTTATTCACATGTTAATAATGATAATAATGATAATGATAATAACAATAATAATAATAATAATAATAATAACCTCTTCCTCTTATTATTTCTAACTGCCCCGCCATTGGACAGCGGAGTGTTTGGGGTTCGTTTGCTCGAAGATCCAGGAGTGCTTTTTGTAGCAGCTGTTGTTTGTGGTGGTGGTGGTGTTGGTGGTGGTGCTGATAAGGATGTTGATAAAGATACAATATACATAAAAACAAACATACTTAAACCAAAATACAAGGCATTCATTCATACATACATACATACATACATACATACATACATACATACATACATACATACATACATATATACATACATGCATACATACATACATACATACATATATACATACATACACAATATACAGAAAGATACAAACATGCAGTTTCTTCGTCGTATATATACAAACTCTCATCTGCACAGGCTTCCATCTGAATGCTAGCCCAAAACCACTGGTGATGATGACGGTGATGATGACAGTGATGATGACAACGATGAGTACGATGATAAAAATGATGACAATAGTAATAATATTGATAAATTGATGATAAAGGAGAAAATGGTAATAATGATGATGATATTACAAACAAACACAACAATCAATCAATTAATCAATCAATTAATCAATCAATTAATCAATCAATCAATTAATCAATCAATAAATCAATCAATCAATCAATCAATCAAATATATTTATATAGCGCGTACATTTCAACAATTCAATGACGCTCTAGCCAAACTAGCTAGCAAAACAGAGTGCATCTAATTAGTTGATTGAGATTAATGAAACAACAGCAACAAAGAGACCTCTGATTTGACGACGTGCAGTTTACAGTGCAGATCAAATGGTATGGATCGAACGGACCGATCGTTCACTATGAGGTGCGTGGTCATCGGGGCCCCGTACTGCACCACTGTCCCACCTGTTTACCCCCACCATCATCATCATCATTATCATCATCGTCGTCGTCATCAACATCACCTTTTTCACCAACATTGCCACAAACATCACTTTCACATCAGTACATACCATCCTAGTTATCATCAGCAACGTCACCACCATCACTCACTCCCACCCCCACCACCATCATCATCATCACTCGCCATTGTTGACAGCAACTTCTTCCATGTGTCGGATCTCATCGTTTGGAAATCCATAGAAACTCAGGACGGAGAATGCGAACGGACTCAGCTTGTATTGGGACTGGTTTTTAAAACGTTGATTATGATGATGGTGGTAGTGGTGGTGTGTTGGTGTGTCGATGATGATGGTGGTAGTGGTGTGTTGATGATGATGGTGGTAATGATCGTAATGTGGCAGTAATGAGTGATGATGATGATGATTTGGTAATAAATAATGATGATGATGATGACGATGATAGCAGTGGCACTGAAGATAAAACACGAACCTCAAATGATATGGCATCAAAGAAGGACTCCTCCTTCAACTCCCAACACTTATGAATCCATTCTTCGGACATCACGCGCGTGCCCATCCCCACGGCAGCCTAGACATAAGAACAAAGATAATTTGAAAGAATCCAATTAGTGAATTAGCAGAAATGATCATGACCACCGTTATTAAATTCACACTCATAGAAACATATATACCAGAAAAAAAAATCAAGAGAACAATTTTTCAGAAAGCAAAAAGAAATACAAAACATAAAGATACAAAAACATACGAAACAAACAACACAGAAACACAAATACATACATATAAAAAAAATACAAAAGACACAGGACAGAAACATACCTACAAACAAACAAATATACAAACAAACAAACATACAAAACGAAGAGAAAACATACAAACCCTATATTTATCTCCAGACGTACTGTTTGCAACGAGGTGTGTTACTCTTGAACTGAACTCTCTCCTTATACTGCCGCCCATTCTGTGGACTAGATCCACCAGGAGTGTCTGAAAAGTTTTAGTTGTCATGTTGATGTAACTGTCGTCTTACTTGCTGTCTGTCACGTTCATGTAATTGTTGTCATTGTCATAATAATAATAATAACTATAATCACGATAATAATGATAATTTCATTTGTGCAGTGACTATGTAATGTATAGCATCAAAGGGGCCTATCATTGTGGATTTTTCATTTGCAGAATATGTTGTTTGTTGCAGATGTTGCTGTTGTTGTTTGTTGCAGATGTTGTTGTTTGTTGCAGATGTTGTTGTAGTTTGTTGCAGCTATTAATTTTGGTGTCATACAAACAGAAAATGAAATATTGAAATGAAAAGAATGTGGCAAACTAGATTTTCTTTAGTCTTGAAGCCACTAAAACACAGGATGGCATTCTCCATACTTAGGCAATAAACAGGGCGAGTCTTTATTGGCAGAGGCTGACGATTTTTTTAAAATTATTTATAATTATATTTAATTATAATTAAAATGACTTCAGAAATGATTTATTGTGACTTATTCTAATAAATATCACATGTGATTGAATACTAAAAATTATAATAAATAAAAATATATGTACCCGATTGAAAGCACATCTAAGAATAACTGGGGGTGCCACGATTCGGCACCTATGTTTCATCAGTTGGTAGTAAATGGAACCTTCAAAATTATTTATAACAAACACTGGCGCGTTGTTATCCTCTTTCGTTAGTACCATGTGCTCAAAGCCAGTGTCAGAATACACGATCTGGCTTGAAAAACACTGAATAAAAGAGTGGGGTAAGGAATCAGTTAGGAAATTTAATTTTTTGTGCGGTATCATAAAATAATATTTATAAATTATCATTTAATTAAATTTTTATCTATTAATAATAATATTAATATCCCTAATTTATAGAAATAATAATTATTTTACAAATTAAAAAAATATTAAGAAGGTAAACTAATATTTTTTTTCTTATTTAAAAAATGTCTTGGCTGTTTGCTGGATGAGATGAGATGAAAGTCATTTCAAAAACAATGTGATAAGTGAATCTTTAACCTTTAATGCATCCTGAAGTGGCTTTGATTCACGCAGGCGCTGGCCAACAACAACAAATTTCTTGTCTACAATTAAAAAGAAAGACAATTTATTTTTTTATAATTAAATTTGATACCCTATGCTATTTTTCTATTTTAATCTCACTAGTCAAAAACTAAAACCAACATAAAATATAGATTAATTAATTAAATCTGATATCTAGCTACTAACTAATCTATATAAAACTAAAATTATATTTTTTTAGCTATTTATCTCTCTCGATATATCCATTAATCAATCTATTAAAATAACAATTAATTAATTAATTATGAGTTAGGCAATCAATCTTCTCGCCATACTTTCTCCATTATTGGAAAGATAATTGGCAGACCCACTTTCTCCTCCACCGTTCATCGTTTCTCCGATTTTAGTGAATCCGCTTTGTCACAAAGTACAAAAATAAATATACAAAATTTAAATAAAAAGAATATTATAATAGTGATCTAAATATTTTAAACCAACGCGTTAGGACCATACTCACAACAATTTGATCGAAGTTGAATCAAGCGCCATTGCTCTTTGTTTTGAATCTTTTAAAACTTAATCTAAACGTTTTAACGCAGCGCTGCGCATTTAATCATTTATAATCATATTCTGCACATAAACTCACTCTAAGTTGCTGTTATTAATTGAAAATCTGTGCTATAAATTTGATTAAAAAATGCTTAACCGTATTTATTTTATAAGAATGTATCACAACACTATAGGATGGATCAAAATTATGATATAACTCTAGAATTGCATTCTGAAGTATATGCAATAGAATAATGAAAAATTTTATTTTAAGAAAACGTTTATAAACGTTAAAATATCGTGACATATTCATCTTTTTATACATTAATAATGTAAAACCATATCCTTAGAAAACCTATGTAATAAAATGTATATATATATATATATATTATAGTGTGTGTGTGTTGTGTGTGATTACACACACACACACACTCACACACGACAAAAAATTCATGGACACTTTCTATGAATTTACCATTACCTCCAGCTAATCTCAATTTTGTTTTGAATTTACTTGGTACTAATTTCTACCTGACTTGTTTGAGTTCAATTTGCTAATCGGACATTTCGATTTCATAGAAACAAATCAAAACTTACTTCTAATTTGTCAAAGCTGTTGATAACCATTTGAAAAATGAAAATCTATTAAAAAATGGTGGATTTTGATTATAATAATATATTTTCTAATTTAAAAAAAAAATCAACTACTTAAAAGTTAAAACTTAAAGTTTATTAATTTTTAAAATTATTATTTAAATTAATGGTTTAAAAACGCTTCAACTTAATAATTAATTAAATATGGGGTTCGGCACAAAATGTCTTGTTGTCACCATCCTTGCCTGGCTGCTGTACAAATTTCTTTTTTTCGATTCGAAGGAGATCAACTATAGAGGTATTAATTATAATATTATAATTATATACAGTAATTATTTTAAAAAAATAATTTATATTCTCATTTGACTTTCAAAATCTCTACTTGAAGATTACTTGAAAAAAGACATTTTATTTTTAATTTTCCAGAGTTGTTAGAAAACAAAAACGTCATCATAACCGGTGCATCATCAGGGATTGGAGAGGAGGCTGCCTATTTTTGTGCCCTGAATGGGGCTAATGTTGTAGTTGTGGCTCGTAGAGAAGTACTTCTTCAACAGGTGCCTCAGTGCTTTCTTATGTCTATTTTTTTACATAATTTTAATTAAGTAAGATGTGCATTCATATATCATTTCTGTATCTGAATTATATATATATATATATATTTATATATATTTTACATATATAATATATATATATATATATTCTGTATATTCACACTATATGTATATATATATATTCTATATATATTGTATTCATTCATACATCTTTTGTGTATTATATGCATTTAAATTCTATATATCTATACATACACGGACATACATGTGCACACACACACAGACACATACTGTATTGTTAGTAGATTTTATGTGATTTACTTATGATTTTATACTATATACATAAATTTGATGTCTGTTGTATACTAAGGCTGTTTTCAGAATGCATAACCTTTCACCGCATTCCACTGCCAAGTTCAAGTACATAACTGCTGATTTTAGTGATCCAAAAATTAGTGAACATGTCATAAAAGTAAGGTATAATTATTATTCCATTTTTATTATCGTTATTGTTAATTAGTTTATATAATTTTCATTATTATTTTCATCATAAATATTTTTGTTATCATTGTTTCGCTCTTAAAAAAATCTTACCTAATTTATATACGAAAAACATTAAATGTTAAATTCAGGATGCGGAAGAGTTCCTAGGTTCTTTGGACTACGTACTAATAAACCATGCTTTCTTGCCAGTAACTGTCGATCATATGCAGAGGTGGGTTGGTTCGGAAGAACAACACCGACAACTCAACTACGCGATGAACACTAACTTCCATTCTTTTGTTACGCTGGCTGATCACGCTGTTCCACGACTTAACCAAACCAATGGAGGGCTGCTCGTCGTCTCTTCTGTTATTGGTAGACTATTATTGGAGGGAATTTTTAAATTTTTGGGAAATTTTAAATTTTTTGAAAAATTAGTCGTTTATTTATATAATATTTGTGATTGATTGATTATATATTCTTCTGCACTGAACAGTTGAAACTCCGGCATTCAGCCTGCCGTATGCAAGCAGCAAGGGAGCGGTGAACACGTTCTTCACAGGACTCAGACAGGAGTTCATCAAAGACAACCTGAATGTATCACTCACACTTGTACATCTGGGATTCGTCGGTTAGGAGCGTTCATTCTGATGTACGTTGACTCAATAATGACGGTTACAATGTTTATAACGATCGTGGTGATAATAATAATGATGCTGTTAATGATTACAATAATGAGGATAGTAATAATGAAGAGTGTCAGTCTTCTATTGTATAAATCACATCTAATAGTTCTCAGAAGATAAATATTCTAGTTTGGTGACAAAATATAGTCTCAATAATTCGACATTTGCAATGATTTTCATAAATTCACTCCTTCCTTTCTTTCAGAAACTGAAACGTCGTTGCAGACGTTGAAAGTTCTCTCGGGCGTTCTGAAGACGGATTTGGCCTCCTTCGTTACGGAATTTCCTCAGGCGTCACCGAAAGAAACTGGCAAAGCCATTGTGACCGCCATGCTGAAGCGTGAGCCCTACTTCTACTTCCCCAATCCAGCTCAGATACGCTTCTTCCGCGTCGTTCGCACGTTGGTCAAGGATCCGGATTACATTATGAACGCCATTATTAATAATGCTGTCAAGTTTTTTCAGTGGAAGAAAAAATACTTGTGGTGATGATGGCTGGGTTCTAAAGGAATGCGCTATATAAATGAGTTTTTTTTTATAAATAGTCTCTTTTACAATGATGAACTAGTGACAATTTCTGTTGCAATTGCATTGATTTTTACTTAATTTATAGTTATTTATTAGTGGATTAGTTGGTCTTGAAAGGACTCAATTCATACCATATAACAAGAACAGATCATGATTACTATCATTTTTACTGAACAATAAATGATTTAAGAATCTAAGTTTCACCGAAGTTTCTTATTTTAGGCAGTTTATATAGCCTTCCTATTTGAAGTTCAATCAAAAAAGCGTCGAGTTTTTTTCAATTCTAATTCCACATTCTAACAATTTTCTGAAGAATTCTGTGGGTTTGTACAACGTTGTAACTACCAACGAACTACAGCATCGTAAGTTATCATGTATTATAAATTTGTGCAACGTTTCGACTAAGAACGATATATGATATTGTAAGTTATATTAAATTATATTATTCACAGAATGTCTTGTCGTCACCATCATCTCCTGGCTGCTCTACAAATGTTTTTTTTCTATTCGACGGAGTTCAACTATAGAGAGGTATTGTGATAAGTAGGATGTTGAATTTTCTACATAGTTAACTAAAAAAAACTAACTAAAAAATAACTAAAAAAGACCAACATGAGGAGCAGCGATGAATGAGTTGAGAATTTCGGGAAATGAATGAAATTGAAGTGCGTATGTATGTGGTTATAATCGTTATGTTAATAACTATAACAAAACTATCATTTAATTGATTGATAGTTTACTTGACATCGTAAAAGGATTAATGCTATGTCGATTTATAATCGCAATCATAATATACATTACATCATTCTATTTTATTCTCGATCTAGTTACTGCTAAATCTACATTTAGTAACTATCTTAGATAATATTATCATTAACATTATTATTATTATAAACATCATTATTATTATGCCGAGTCCATATTCTAGAACAAACCGCACCCGGATTCAATACCATTCCACCACACTTTTTTTTGTAATATTTTCAATTAAATTGGAATATTCACCAGGGTTCTGGAATCAATATGTATAGTATATATATATATATATATATATATATATATATATATATATATATATATATATATTTACAATATTCTATAAATTCTACCGAATGTTAAAATCATTCGGTAGAATTTATAGAATATTATAAAAACCATTCGGTAGAATTTATAGAATATTGTAAAAATCATTCGGTAGAATTTATAGAATATTGTAAAAATTATGGTCTATTACTAACATATATACATATATAAATATATATATATATATATATATATATATATATGTGTGTGTGTGTGTGTGTGTGTATATATTCAGGGAAAACCCCCACAATGATAGCCTTGTTCTCCTCTCTGCCAATGCGAAATGTTTCAGAAAATAGATTTTCCAGGATTTGTTGAACAAACACAGAGTTCATGAGCTGATTGTTCAAAACGCCCTGCTGAAAACTTAGTCTTTCGTGTTTGAGTACATTGATGAGATTGGGAAAGATTCTATTTAGTAACTCCATTGCTGAAAGATGCCCTAATGAGCAGTGTTAAACTAAAATCTTGCACCACATCAACCCCGCATATCCATCCACGATGATAAGAATCAGCAGTTATGTGCTTGATTATTTGCTCTGACGTTGTCAACAGTTCGTCCTGTATATAACTGTACATAATTTTTTATTTTGAAGTTACAATGTGAGCTCAGTAGTGGTGTATTATGAATCATTTGATTACTTGATTCTTTATTAAATACTGAAAACTAATTATTTTCAACGGAATATTGATTAATAAATGTGATTCTATTATAAAATTCAGTCACTCACTGACTCATCATCTGATAGCTATCATTCTCGCATAACCATTCACGATTAAAAACTTATGTATGGCCAGTTAATATAACCTTCCTATTTGAAGTTCAATTAAAAAACGCTGAGTTTTTTCAATTCTAATTCACATTCTAACAATTTTCCATTTAAAACATTTCAATGTTATGTTTACTACAAACAATTGATTAAGCATAAACGCTTGTTAAAATCAAATATTTAATACAGTGCTTAAGATTAATTTATTTCTTAGGGGAATAAAGAGAAATGACTAAATAATTGATATAGGCATGAACTGAATTGAAGATGTAAGGTTATTTATGTACGTATTCAAACGCGCGTGTACAATAGTCCATTGCGTCGTTTAATAAGCCCGTTCAGACACCTGGAACATATAAAGTGGATATCCCAGGATGTAGTTCATCAAATGACTGATGAATTCTGTGAGTTTGTGAAACGTTTTAACTATGATCTATAATATTTTGTAAGTTATATTATTATGACGATGTCTAACTTTAGAGATTTAATTAAAAAATTGATCGAACAAAGATGTATGTTAAATTGTTACATATTGGTCGTGATGTTTCTGTTAAAATTTCTGTTAGGAACGTATTGAGCAGAACTACTCAAGGTTAGGCGGTAACTACTTACCTAAACGATTACGTTTACTACTATGTAAACGTAATCGTTAAATTGGAAAACTTTAACGATTTATCTAGCAAAACTCTGAGACTAATCAAATGAATGGACATAATATACGAACCTAGTAAAAGTGAAATACACGTAAGAAGTAGTACTGAGAGAATGCTTATCATGGCGAACATTGCTAGTAGGATATACGGGAGGAGGAGCAGAGTTACGACTGTCACAAGTATGGAAGAACCTTCAACTCCTAATTTTAGGGCAATCAACACCCCACCTGTTACGATGAGAATCGAACATACGAAGTTTATTAATTTGAGGTTTGATCTCTCGTCCCTTATTATCTCCATCACGTTTATTCCTGACATTTCGGTGTTTGATTGAAGAGAACTTGAAAGATTAATTTTGGTTTTAATTATTAATTTGTATACCAGTGGATAATTTGATAAATTAATTGTTTAATTAGTTAGTTTTTTCATAATAGCCAGTCGTTTGAATGAAATAACATGCTTAAACGATATAAATATTATCTCTCAAATTACAAATGTTTGTATTTCACTTTATTTTTGTTTGTTTGCCACACGTCATTAATATTTGAAAGATTTATTGATAATTTTTGAAATGTTTGAAACAAACAACTAGTATTTATATTGATACATTCCTTCTGTTTCATCCAATCTTTTCATTCAAAGAATTGTACATCAGCCATTATATTTTAAAAAAGACTAAAGTACGCGGCACTTCCACTTTTAAACATCCTAGATCTTAATATATTTCAAAACTTCCGGATAGGTAAGATTTTATTTAATGAGATAATTTTCAAATTTTAGTTCATCATCGGCAAAGTATGTCCACGAGAAGGTTGACTAAAAGAAAATGTCATTCTTATTTGTCTTTAATTTTGTGATTTTCTTTACGATTTTTTTAAATTTCATTTTCAGTTCTTATTAACATCCGAGAATAGATTCAGAATATTCACTTATTTATCTGATTTAAATTTTAACTGTAATAAATTAAAATTTTAAATTTTTACTAAATTTTTACCTTAAATTAAGATAAAAATTGTTTTCCAAAAGTATATCTTATAACTAAAATAAAAAATTTAGATTTATAAATTTATGAGATTTATCAGTCATTATTTTTATTAACTACCAAATTATTTTCCAGTTGGTTTCATGCAAACCTGTCTGGAGTTGGTGCAAAAAATTTGCTTATGAAGTATGGAAATGACGGAAGTTTTCTCGCCAGACCCAGCAGGAATAGTCCTGGAGATTTTACTCTTTCCGTCCGGTGGGTGTAATAGTATAAAATTACCTCTTTGGTTTACAAATAATCATTACATTTTGTCATTTTTTGTTTTACTACACATTTGCATCTTCACTTTCCCTAACTTAACAACAGTCGAAACGACGAAGTAACTCACATAAGAATTCAGAACACCGGGGATTTTTATGATCTCTATGGTGGTGAAAAGTTTGCCTCCCTATTAGAATTAGTGCACTATTACACTGATTGTCAGGGGGTACTGAAGGAAAAAAATGGAGATATCATTGAGTTGAAACATCCACTGTTCACTGAGGATATAATTTCTGAAAGGTTGTTCATTAATTTATTTCTCAAGTTTTTTGTTTGTTTGTTTTTTCTTCTATTCAGGTCTTATTGCCTTATTTTGTTTTATTAATCATCATTCCTTATCTAAATTTATTCATTAAAATATCAAATCTTATTTGCATTCATTCATTCATCTTTTGATAGATGGTTCCATGGAAATATTTCTGGAAAAATGGCAGAGAAGTTAGTGTTAGAGAAAGGTAAGAATGGAAGTTTTTTGGTTCGTGGAAGCACAAGTCGGCCAGGAGATTTTGTGCTGTCTGTCAGGGGAGCTGATAATAATGTCACCCACGTCATGGTCTACTTTAAGGTTTGGGTTTTTTGTGGGATGACGATGATGATTATGATGGAGAAGAGAGATTGAGATGATGGAGAAGTAGGATGATGATGTTGGTGATGAATAATGAGGTTAAAATGACGAACAGGACAACCAGTTCGATGTGGGTGGGGGGGAGAAATTTTCGACCCTGTCAGAACTAGTAGAACATTACAGGATGAATCCGATGGTTGAAAAATCGGGTCAAGTCGTGCACCTCAAACAGGTCAATTTATGACAAAAGTTGAGTTAATTTACCCAAAAAGTAGATTTATGGATTGATAAATTGTTTAATTTGTTCATTTGTTAACTGAATTTTTCATCCATTCATCTATTTTTCAACTCATTTTCTCATTAGCTCTTTCACTCATTTGTTCATCTACTTAACCAACTCATTCAACTGTTCATTCATCCAGTAATTCATCTATTCACTTATTCATTCATCTTTTTATTCATCCATTCACACATCATTCACTCATTCATTCCTTCTTTCATTCATTCATTCATGCATGCATACAGCCACTGAACACGACGCGTATTAGTGCGTCGGCCATCTCGACAAGATTCTGTGACCTCGATAGGACTAGTACCATGAAAGCTGGTTTTACCGAAGAGTTTGAGGTTATTATTATATTTATTTATTTTTAATTTTTTTATTTTTATTGTTCATTTATTTTGCTAAATGGAATGTGTGAATGAATAGACATTTTATTAAATAGGTAAGTAAACGAAGAATGAATGAGTGAGTGAGGGAATGACTGAGGAATGAGGAAGGAATGAACAAATGAATGAATGAACAAATTAATAAATTTTAAGTGAATTATGTTATGATTTGCTTATGAAGAGATTAAATATGGAGGAAAGTCGGATATTCCAGAGTCGAGAAGAAGGGCAAAGACCTGAAAACCGATGCAAAAATCGATACAAAAATATATTACCAAGTATTTTTTCTTACTTTGCTTTGCACGTCTCTATGCTCATACACTCTGCTGTGTGTCTGTATGTTTAATGTTTGTTTTTCAACTATATGTCTTTGAATATTTGTTGTGTGTTTGTGTGTGTGTGTGCGCGTGCGTTTGTGCGTGTGTTTTATTAACGTTAATATTATTGTATTGCCTTGTTATCAGCTGACAAATGGAGAGTGAAGTTAACAGATGGCGACCCCAACGTTCCAGGGTCAGATTACATCAATGCTAGCTTCATATACGTTAGATGATTGCTTTTGTCTTGTTATGACATGTGCAGCACTCATACACACACACAAACACGCACACGCACATACAGTCAGATTACGGGGGTGGAGACATGAGGAAGGCTTACATAGCCACCCAGGGCTGCCTTCGAAACACCATTGGCGATTTCTGGAGGATGGTTTGGTGTCACAACTGCATGATCGTTGTACTAATGACTAAACTTTCAGAGAAAACTAAATCTGGGGTGTGTTCTGTCAATTATTTATCAACTAATCAATTACGTGACCACCAATTAACTAATTAATCAAATAGTCAATCGTTACGTCAATCAATCAATGTCCTGGTTATGACATTAAACTGGCCCTCACTGCCTTGTGAGTGATGTTGGATCATCAAAGGCTAGGCCCACCGCTTATAACTGTGGTTGCGTAAGGAAGGGCGTCCTGCGTAAAAATTAGCCAAATAAATTACTTATGATGACAGAAGTGACAATGGCCCTCAGTGAATGGCGTCGAGGGGTATTTCGGTTTCATCATAGGTAGCCAAACGGCAACCCTCGATCTCGGGGAAAATGTCGTCTAAACGTGTGTTGTTGTTGTACGTCAATCAATCAAATAATTGATCAATCAACTAATTAACAAACTAACCCATCAAACATTCTTCCCAACAACTAACTGACCAATCACAGCAACTTCCTTCATCGCTGTCGACCAATCTGAATGCTCAGGGCAAATGTGTGAAGTACTGGCCCGAGGAATGCGATGGTGACCTTGAGATACCAGTGTATGGGGGCATGTTGAAGGTCGCCTACGTTTCGACTAAAGAACATGGAGATTATACTTTGAGGGAATTTGAACTTACAAAGAAAATCTTGAAAGTTATTCTTACGTTTCCTTGTTTGTTTTTGTCTGTCTCTGTGTGTGTGCGTGTGTGTTAGCGTTTGTTTGTGTATGAGTGTTTATATGTGTGGGTATGTTATGTATGTAAGTTGAGATACTGTGATTTGAAGATCAACTTCCTATTTCATATTATGTAATAATGTGGCACATAAATATAGCATTTCATTCACTAGGAGTTTGTCCTAAACCTATAAACTTTTTACCCAAAGACTGTAAATAACAACGACGACAACGACAGCAGCGGCCAGCCACAGCAGCCGCAACTACAGCAGCAGCAAACGGCGGCATCAGACGTCGTCGAACCGCTGTACGAAACGTTGCCACCGAGAACTATCTACCACTACCACTACACTTCCTGGCCGGAAGTTTTCGTGCCGAAGGATCCAGAGCCTATTTTAAGTTTTCTCGACGTTATAAACGATAAGCAGGAATCCCTGGAAGAGGCTGGCCCCATTGTTGTCCAGTGCAGGTCGGTCGGTCAGTCAGTCTACCGTAATCTGCCCCCTTATTCCCTATTTTATAATCTTTGGTTTACTTTTTGCCATTTTTAAAATATGCTTCTTCATTTATTTGGCTTTTTCGGCCGTTGTATATATATACACATTAACACACACACACACACACTCCCCACACTTATACATAAACACACATACACATACCACACACATTCACACAACACATTCACACACACGTATACACTCCTCACCCTCATACACACACACACACACACACACACACACACACACACACACACACACACACACACACACACTCATTTCGCACGCATTAACACAACACATTAACACACATACACACACGCACATTCACACACATACACACTCCTCACACTCATACACACACATTCACACACACACATTTATTCAGTGCTGGCATTGGTAGGACAGGCACTGTCATCATCATCGACCTACTTCGAAATCAAATTAGACTGCAAGGTGTTTTTTTTGAAGGGTTTGGATGCTTATTAGTGGATGGATTGATGGTTGAATAAATGAATGAACGAATAAATATGGATGAATGAAGGATGGATGAGTGAATTCTTCTAACCAATGAATGAGTAGATGAATATGAATGGTTGAATTAATGGTTGAATGATTTATTTTCATATTAATTAATTAATTAATTAATAACTGAATGATTGAGCGAATGAATGAATGGATAGATGAATGGATAAACAATTAATAGGCATCAACTGTGATATTGACATACCTCAGGCAATACAAAAGGCTCGCTCTTATAGGTAACATTATAATTATAATAATAGTGATAACAATAATAATTATTATTATAATTACAATAATAATGATAATAATAATTATCATTATAATTATAATAATAGTAATGACAATAATAATTATTATTATAATTATAATAAGAGTGATAATAATTATTATAATTACAAGATCTGGTCTTGTACAAAGCGAGTCACAGTACAAGTTTATATACCAGGCCATCACTCTCTACGTTGAAATTCTAAATTTCATGCATCAAGGAAAGGTAATAATGGTTCATTCATTCTGTTTTAACTTTTTCTATCTTTCTTTCTCTGATCTCTTCTTTTCTCTTTGATTCTCTCTCTCCATCTATCTATCTGGTATGTCTATCTATCCATCCATCCATCTCTAATTACTTGTTTTTATCTAGTCCGTCTCTATCCATCGTTCTTCTCTTTCTTTCACCCAGTCCTCTTAATGTTCTCACTCAATCTTTCAGATGCCTTTCTCTCCGACTGACTGATTGAGTGAATGAATGAATGAATAATTGAGTGATAGAATAAATAAATCGATTTATTTACTTTACTAATTTAATTTACTAACTTTCAAGAAAACAAAAACAATTGCGCAGAAAAACCAGCGCCTGGGCCACGAGTACCACAACATCAAATACTCCATGGACTCGTCCCTATCCGTCTCTCGCCTGTCAATCAACAGTCCCAACGGTCCGTCGTCCTTACTATCTTCGTCTAGATCCAGCATCTTTTCATCCGTCTCATCTACTGCCAATATATATAATAACAATTTTAACAACAGTAACAACAACAGCAACACTAATAGTGTAAATAGTAATCTCAGTAATAGTTGTAGTAGTAGTAGTTACGGCAGTTTCGTGGTTGGCGGTAGTGGTAGCAGTAGTAGGAGCCAGAGTATTTGTAGCAATGGTTGCCAAGCTACGGAGAAGGTGCTACAGCAGCAGCAGTTGCTTTCACAGCTTAATGCCAGGTTTACTGCTCTATAATTAGATACGTATAAATATATACTGGCAAAATGATATTGAGTTGCATAAAATTTGATTAAAATTTATTCTTGAACTATCAATTAAGATCTTTAAATTAAATAATATATTTATTATTTATAATTTATTTCCCCCTCACAACAGGTCCTCCATATCTTCGACATCCACATTAGGAGAAATGGAACAAAATTACCAGAATATTAATTAAAGTTTATTATTAATTATTACCAAATAATTGTTTACGTTATTATTTGTATTTATATAATTTTTCATTTCAAATTTGCAAAAATATATATATATATATATATTGAGAGAGAAAGATGTATATATACATAATAATCATGTGCAACGAATTAGTTTGAAGGACCACAATTAATCCACCGAAATCCTGCGTCGTGCTAGTTTAGATGATATAAAGGACGAATGCCGGCAACACCGTCTGCGGTGGTTTGGTCATGTCAAACGAAGTGGAAACAGTGCCATAACTTCTCTTGCAGATGTTGAAGTACCTGGCACACGTCCCAAAGGCCGTCCAAAGAAGTCCTGGTCGCAAATAAACGAGCAGGACATGAAAGCTCTAAATTTAAATGAAATGGATACAACTGATCGTCTAATTTGGCACAAAAAGTTGTTGGCAAAGAAAACAACGTCCTACCTCGGGAGAACTGGGTCTCTGGATGCTAAACGATGATTGATACATAATAATCATGTAATTACGAATGAATGAATGTATGTATAATTGTATTATAAATTATATATATATATATTATGTATATATATATATATATATAACACATATATATATAATAGAAATCCACTCAATCAACGACCATTTGTTTTGCATTCTTTATTTCTTTGTCTTAAAACCACATCTTGCAATTATCATTATTATTATTTTTTAATGTCATTTTATGCTTTTCCAACAGTATCACGAAAAGTGAAATTAAATAAAAATGAGAAAATAAAAAAGTTTACATTTGCTTGCAACGTCCATTCATATTGTTCTTCAGCACATAGACCCGTAGATAAATACATAAACATACACACACACAAGCGTACACACATACAGATACATATACGCAAACAGGCGGCCTGACAGATGTACAAACACAAATATAGTAATACGAAGCCAAATAGTAAATACACATACAAACACAAATGCAGGCATACATAACATACACTATACACAAACAAACAAGCAAACACAAAAATGTAGATGCATATTTCCACGAGTTACTATGGATATTATAAAGACTGCTGATAAAAATTTTTTATTAAAAAACTCAACAAACTAAATGAACATTAATTAAACAAACGAAATAAATAAATACACGACAAACGAATGGTCTTATATGGTAACTCTTTGTGACAGAAGACAGTGAAAAAATTACATAAACGTATACATACACGTACCTACACATAACCACGTGGTTGTCTAGCTTGAGTGTGTGTGTGTGTTTGTATGCTTGTCTATATGTCTGTTTGCACATGTATTAAAAAAAAGAAAGAACTTATCTATTCCTTTTTGCTGATAAAGACATTTTTAATTAAATAAATTTTCGATTTTTTTTTCTATTTTTCTTTCTCTTAAAATTTAATTTAGCAGAATCGTTTTAATCATTATATTTTAACAACCCACTCACTCATTTAATGATTACCTCTAGCTCACACCTTAAATCACACTTCTTTACCATCATCATTGACATTTTTGTTAACACTATTATCCTCATAATCATCACCATCCCCCATCCCCTCTCTCGTCTCATCACTATATTCCTCCTCATCAGAGCATATTCTTATCGGAGTTGGTCGTGTTGGATTTAGCAGCGGCGTCATACTTTTCATGTAAGATCTATGAATTAGTTCATTCATGCATCAGTTAATTCATCTATCCATCCGCTCACTCATTCATTTATCCATCCATCTATTAACGAATCATTCATTCTAAATATAAATCATTCATCTGTTCATTCATCCATTTATCTATTAATAATCCATCCATTCACTTAGCTATCCATTCATAATAAATGAAGGACATAGTAAGCGAGGCAGACCTTTTTATATTGCTCCTGGTTGGGCCATAGGTCGGAAGCTGTCACGTTCAATGGACTCAATGTGTTTGGCTCTAAAAAAATAATAAAAACATGTAAATATATACAGAAATACGCATAAACACACTCATGTAAATGCAGACAAACAAACACACACACAGACCTCCAAGAAGACTCTGAATAGACAGTAATATTGTCCTGACATCATAGAGGGCCGACCATTTTTCTTTCAAAATGTCCAAGCATATGTTTCCAGATAGGTCAACATTTGGATGAAAGCAGGGAGTTAGGAATTTCACGGTGGGGGCATTGTAGGGATAGCCAGAAGGAAACTCGAGTGATAATTTGTAGGTTAGGCTCTCATAGACCTAAGAAAATTGGGTGTGTTAAATTCAATTAACACTCAGTACTAAATTTTTTTGTATCTATACACCTACACCACACTACAATTTAAAAATATATTGTCATTATAATTATGAATAATTTTACATACAGTCCCAGTTGGACCCTTAATAGTCCCAATCCATTTGAATAGGTTGTCGCCTTCTGGAAAAGCTGATACTCCGTGCTCTGACATCATCTTATCATAAATATTATATTTTAGTGAGTAAGTGAATAAATAAATATATATACACACACATATATTATTATAAAGAAAATAAACAATTAAGATGAGTGTACATATAAAATAAATGCACGTGTGTAAATATGCTTATGCCTTTATTCTTATACATACCTGTAATGGTACACGCATGTTTGCTTCGATGCATATATGAAATGTACTTATGTAATTTTATATTTATATTATGATTTATATTTGTAAAATTACAAAATGAGAGAGAAAAAAAAATACCAGGCACACATACATACACAACTTTAACTAACCATCAGTGACATTAACTCTTTCTGCAGCCTAGATGAAATGAATTTATTTATTTATTATAAATAATAAAAAATAATAAGTGTAAAAGTTATCAGTATATATTATACATATACATATAAATATATATATAAATACATAAATAAATAAATATATATATATATATATATATATATATATATATATATATATAATACATGATCACTAATGTGTGTGTTTACACAATACCTTTTAGTAACTGAATGACTATCTTTGGACAGTGAATCTAAACCATCCTTGCCCTTGTGGCTGGCCGACGATGATGAGGAAGAGGCAGACGACATTATGTAGGATGATTCGTTGTTTGACATATTCAATTTTCTGTTTCAGTTAAATCATTTAAAAAAAAAATTTGTATTGTGTATTACATTGATTTTGATATATGATTGTACAAAATCACATCATTATCTTTAATTTTTTACTTTAGGATTGATTTTAAATAACTTACCTTAATTGCTTAATTGGTGCTAGTAAATGTAAAATGTCCCAAATTGATTTTTTTTTCAAAAATGTAACGAAAATTAATTATCTTTAATTTTTAGGATTGATTTTAAATAACTTGCCTTAATAATTGGTGCTAGTGAATGTAAAATGTACCAAATTGATTTTTTTTTTCAAAAATCTAACAAAAATCATTTTCATTTAGAAAAGATAGAAATTAAATAAATTAAATAAAAATCATAGGACCGAACAATGAACAAAACGAACAATGAACAAAACGTTGTGTTGTGTCAATTAATTAAAATTAAAATTAGGGAAAGAACAAAAACTTACGAATTTCTTGCTTTTACGGAAAAAACTGATTTATCTAAAAAATTAAAACGTTAAAATTTATTCAAAAACTAATTTAAATAAAGAAAATTCAATTTTTTCGAGAAAAGAAATGTTTTAAAAAGTACTATTAAATGAAATAATTTGAATTCGGTATGCGAAATTAGATCAATGCGAAGGAAATGGACAAAGACGTTTAAACAAAGAAAGCCGAAAATACATTTGGCTGGATAGAAACGTGTGAAATTTTGACCATTGTACGTCAATTTAAAGATAAATTTACTTCGACAGAACGATTTTTTTATTTCAGAGTTTACAAATTATGCATTCCAAGCTAGTTACCAATTTTTTTGTTAGATTTTTTCTATTACCGTTCCGCCTAACTAGCAAAATTAAATTTATGAAAGTATATATTATATTTTAACAAAATATTAAATATTTTACGTTATAGAGAAAAAAGTATGTATGTACAAGAGAAAAGGCGCCTGATATAATAGATACAAAGTTTATAAAGTAAATTAAAAAGTTATGTCGATAAACTGTTATAAATTCATCCAACATTTTAAACATGAAAAATTACATGATAATTAAGTGTTAGACATTAAATGTGGGTGTCATTAATAAATATGTACATTCAAAAAACATTGGAAGTAAATCATCATAAAAAAGTTAAAATAATTTAATATCAATAAAAAACTGTTATCAAAATATTAAAACACCAGATTAATAAACTAAAAATGATCTTATTGTCAGTAAATAAACATCCCAAATAAATATACATCACCGATAAAGAACTTTACAAAACAAAAAACATCAAAATAAATGTTTCAGCGATTATTCAGAAGGTTATTTTGTTGTTGTGGTGGTACAGCAGAGATGGCTGATCTTTGTTTCAGCATAGTCCAGTCAAAGACATAATCATAGCTGAAATTTAGGGTACGGAATAAAATTCGAAAGAGTTGCCTCATGTACATGTAGTCTGGGGCCTCATCAAATCTCAGGCCACGACAATAATTTAAGTACATGCAGAATTCAGCTGGAAAACTTTTGCAAAGAACTTCAACAGGTGTGGACATCTTTTTTTCACTAATTTTTTCATACTTTTGCTTTTTAGTTGTTGCTTTTAAGTTTTGCCAGGGTAAACTGCTTCTGTTGAAATACATTAAAACATAACCCAGAGACTCCATGTCATCTCTTCGACTCTGTTCAATGCCCAGGTGAGCATTGATGCTGGCATATCGAGCTGTTCCGGTCAGATTTTTGTCCTCTCTGTATGGAATGTGGGTTCGAGTTGTGCTGTCTCTGTATTTTTTTGCCAGACCAAAATCTATTATGAATAATTTGTTGCAATGACGACCATTACCCATGATGAAGTTGTCAGGCTTGATGTCCCTGTGAATAAAGTTTTTTGTATGCACATATTCAATTCTGCTTATCATTTGATCGGCCAACATTAGCACGGTCTTCATAGTAAATCTTCTAGTACAAAAATTGAACAGATCTTCAAGACTTGGCCCCAGCAGATCCATAACAAGGGCATTATACTCTCTCGCTTGACCGTACCAACGTACATGGGGAATGCCTATGGCTCCTTGTAAAATTTTGTATAATTTACTTTCGTAGAGAAGTTGAGGATGACGGGCATTAGATGGCTCTAATTTAACAGCCACTTCATCTCCGTTGGCTATGTTTATACCTAGGTAAATATCACCAAAGGAACCACTGCCTATTTTACGGACCAGTCTGTACTGAGCTTTCGATGGATCGCCAACGATAAATTCCGTTTTGTTACTTGATGAAACAACTGAGCGATCATTCTCCATGATTTTTTAATAAATTAAATTTAATTTTTTGAATTTTAATTTTAAAAAATTCAGCGTCGGACGAGACAGTTTACGAAGGAGTAGAACATAACGCGAATTAAAGAAATTTAAGCATTTTATAACCTCCCTACCGTCGAAAAGACATAAAAATAAAGATCGGATGGCATTGGTAAAAGCTAAAAGGCAAATTTGCAATTATAAATTATTGTGGTATACGTGCATATAGCAATAATGACAAACAAGATTTAATTTTTAAGCATTTTTCTATTTTATATAATAATTTTCCTAATTAATACTCATATTCTCAGCTTTAAGAGCAGTATTACGTTTTAATAAGGTCGACTTTATAAAATCATGTTTCCCTGTTGGAAATTTAAAGTTGAGTGCAACTAAATACTGGCAAACATTTTTTTGAATATTACGTAAAATAAATGTTTAAACTGTTCATGTTAAATTTTAAGCAAATAAATCACTTATTTCATTAAATATCTTCCTTTTAGTTTCATTCGAATAATGTAGTTTTTTATCGCTCAGTTTTGTTTTTTTGGCCATTTAAATTTTGTGCGGTAGAAGTTATTTTGAAAATTTTATTCGGCAGAGTTTTTAGTTTATTTTATATTGTTTTTGAAAGAGTTGAAAGATCAACATCAAAGGAAAGAATAGAAATTTAAATTTTAAAAAATAATGAAACCTGATCAGGAAAAGTTGAAGAATGTCCTAATCGAGTCTGTGGTCATGATGTGTCAGAAGGGTTTGAATTTTAAAAGGGAACTTCAGTTGCGAGGTGTCATAGGAGTTACCGTAGATCACAATGATCATTTCATCATTCACATTGATCAGACATTGGATGCAGGTCTGGCGTTATGTTTGTTGTGTGTACTGTAACATATAGAATAGAATTATGTTCAATATTAACAATTAAATTAATTTCTTTTTAATAACTTTATAATTAGAAATAATAACTTTATTATAATTACTAATTACAATAGCAGCAACTTGTGTAACCAGCTATATAAACATAAAATAAACCATCATCATCAAATGGATAGGCACTTAACTATGAACATAAATAAAATATGGTTATAAATATAAACTGTAATCATAAATAATTGAAATATTTAATAACTTTACACAGAAAGCAGTTGCATGATTGACAGCAGCACATCGCTATTAAATATCAAACCAGAACAAGTGGACCCAAACAGACAATTCTCTAATTCATCATTGCAAACGCCGGTCAAATTGGAATCTACTCAAACATTTTTTAACAATGAGCACTGTGTTAAAAGTGAATTTAACACCAGCAACAACATCAGTGCTAATAATAATAATAATAATAATAATAATAATAATAATAATAATAATAATAATAATGTTTTAGGTAGAAATACTTTTAATAGCAGCTTTTTCTCCCAAGCTCAAAATTTGTTTAATAGTAATAACAATAATAACCCCAATATAAACAACATTAATAATACAAATATTAGTAGTAATAATCTTCAAATGGCTTTAGTCCCTTTTGCTAAAAATGCATCCCAGCCACAATATATGCCGCCACAGCAGCAGCTGCAACAACTACCTCAAAATAGTTATGCTACTGGCCTACAACAACAACATCCACCACAACAACATCAGCCTCAAAATGTGAGATTAAAAATTATTAAACGACAGCAGCCCAGTAAGTCGCATCATCAACAACAACAACAACAACAGGCTACTGGACAGCTTCTACCGAAGCAACAACAACAGCAATTTCAGGCACAGCAGAATGCATTCTTTCATCAGCAAGGAGTCCAGACTCCCAGGCAATTTAATATGGGTGTATGTTAATGATTCTATTACCATTATTAATACTGATATTTTACTTTTATTGTTTTTTTGATTACATTGCATACACACACAAACTAATATGCACAAACTTACACACATATATACAAATGAAGTACAAATATAAAATACACTTATACACATTGTATGCAGATTCAAAACCAGCAAATGCACCAACAACAGCTGCAGTCACAACAAGCCACCAATTCGAGATTGACATTTGTTCGTCAAGGAATGCCGCTAGCAGCGGCAGGCAGAGGAATGTTAGGATTAGGCAAGGGGAGGAGCCAACTTAGAGGGGGCCAGCAAATAAGAATGTCACGAATGCCGCTTAACAACGCACTAAAGAGTGAATCTGGCATGGGTAGGTTAAAAGTGGGTAAGAGCCCGGGAATTCCATTTTCCGGGCAAGTCAGTCGACCAAAATCCGATAAATCTTTCAAGTTAGTGAGTCGATATATTTGCGATATCGATAACTGCAATGCTTCGTTCAGTTTGAAGTCGAATCTCAGGCGACATCAGAAGGCGAAGCACGAAGGCGGCGGTGGTGGTGCTGGTGATGATGACGACGACGACGACGATGATGGTGTGGGTTATTAGGATTTACGGTTTTTCTTGTTAGGGTATTTTCTGTGATGATAATGATGGTGACAATGAGGATTTTGTTGTAGTTGTTGTTGTTGATGATGAGGATGATGATGATGATGATGATGGTGGTGGTGGTTAGTGTAATGATGATATGATGGTTATTATGAAAGTGATAAAATCTCTATGGTGCAGATGCTATTGATTGAGATGTAGCTCTTATGGTTCCCTTTCGAATCTCGTGTTTTTATCATTATTATTATTATTATTATTATTATTATTATTATTATTATTATTATTATTATTATTTTGCATAAAACACTATTATTAGAATTAAAAATAAAAATAGTAATAATAATAACAATAATCTTGAATATTTTTATAATTAAATAATAATTTTCCCTGTTCTCTTTAACGATGAATCATTCATTCGTGATATCTTTTTAATTTAATCTCACTATCTAATCATATCTAATCACAATGTTAATTATACTAACTGATATTGTTATTATTATTATTGTTGTTGTTGTTGTTATTATTATTGTGAGCTGAGAAAAAGACTATAGCGTGACCATGTATGTATTATGTATATATATATATATATATATATATATATATATATATATATGTATATTTTTTGTATATTTTTTGTATATTTATATATATATATATATATATATATATATATATGTATATTTTTTGTATGTATTCAAAATATAAATAATAATAATAACGAGAAATAATGAGAAGAATAATAATTTCAAGAATTGAAACGAGAAATATTAATAAATTGGTGAATAGTATTCTTTGTTACAATACATCTTACTCGTGCGCTGAAATTAAGGAGACGTTTGGTGAGATTTGTGTAACGGAACCTTTTGGTACTTTCTTTTCGTTTATATCGTTCTTAAAATATCGAATTAATTGCTAGGTGTGATTGAATGTATGAATGAATGAATGAATGACTGACCGAGTGAGTGAATGAATGAATGACTGGCTGAATGAATGAATGGCTGGCTGACTGTCAAAGAGTGAAGAGTTCTTAAAACAGAGAGATAAATATATAAACGAATGAATGAATGAGCAATGGAAAAACTAAGCAAATGAACGACTAGATAGGTAAACAAGGTTCAAAGAGAACCCATTTATTTATGAAATTTAAACAACGGTTATCAAAACTGAATTCGTTTTTTAGTCATAAACATTTTTCCTAACTGACGTCATCGCGTCTCGACCAATCAGCTTTCAGTCTTCAGTATACAATACATAGGCGTACATTCATGCCTATAGAGACGGAGGTACTAAAGCAATAAGGACGAATCAATAGTTTTCCAGGCAGAGCGTATGAACAGGCGTACAATCTTGACTGCACGCAGATACATTCATACGTACATACATTCATACATATACATACATACATGCATACATACATACATACATACATGCATGTATGTATGCAAACAGAGATATAAAATGCAAATTTGAAATTAACATCATTTTCATTAAGCTTTTTTGGCATTTGCATAAAGTTGGCTGATTGAGAAAGTAGGAAAATAAGAAAATTATATCGTAAAATGTTTGTGAGCGCTCAAATAACCAAACTAATTAATTGCTTAAGTAATTGATTAATTAATTCACCAGAAACACTGTTTGTAGGATTGACACTGCTACCATAGTGTAGAATAAACATTGAATGGTGAAGAACAATAAACGAAACTTGCGTTTGTATTTATATCATCCTAGTTTATGCGATATATGCAATGTGCGTGTGTGTGTGCCTGCGTGTGTGTGCGCGCGTATGCGTGCAATGCATGCATGATCGAAGGCTAAGCTCTTCGTTGTATCTATATTTGATGATAGAGAAAAGGTGAAAATAGGATAGAGAAAAGTAGTCAGGAGAGGTGAGGGTGAGTGAAGGAATGAAAATGGGAAAGGTATGTAAAAACGGAGAGTATGTGGGCGAAACGAGAGAAAAATGGACAAAAGAAAGAGAAAGAAAGGGAGAGAGAGAAAGAGAGAGAGAAAGAGGAGAAAAACGAAAAATGATTGGATCGCAAGAAGGAGAAAGAGAGAGAGGAACAGGTTCCAGAAAACTGCATAGCACCTAGTTGCTGTATTGACTGCAATGTGTATGTATGTATGTATATATGTATGTATGTATGTATGTATGTATGTTTGTATGTATGTATGTATGTATGTATGTATGTATGTATGTATGTATGTATGTATGTATGTATGTATGTATGTATGTATGTATGTATGTATGTATGTTTGCGTGAAAGATTTTGTATGGGATGTTGATAATTGTGGCCACTACCGTCGTTCAAGCCGGGCATATCTTGTGTTTATTCGTCGTTTAATAATAATAATAATAAAAACAACAAAAATAATAATAAAACAAATAATATATATGTAAATATATTTGAATAATAAAACATTAATATAATAATCGTAATTATTTGAATTAATAAAATCAATTTGACGTATGTCTGGTAGGATCGTTTGTTGGTTAAAGAGTCTGTCTTCTCTTAACTAATTTATATTTTTCAATGATTAATAATAATAATAATAATTGATAATTAATTAATAATAATAATAATTGTCATTATCGAATTATCAATTTAATGGAATAAGTCTATCGCATAGTAATAGTGTTAGGAATAATAATAGTAATAATACTTTAATAATAATAACAATAATAAAGTACTATTTATATAACAAAAATTTTTACTACTCTTCAAAATTAGTAAGCATGAATTTTCTCATCGAAGTATTTTTAATTCATATTACAGATACACATTATAGTATTACATTAGTTTAGCTACTACTACTACTACTACAGCTGCTGATACTAATACTATTACTGCTACAACTGCTGCTGCTACTACCACTACTACTACTACTATCACTGCAGCTACTCTGGTGAAGATCTCCAGCTCCTGACTCAGAGTTCTAACTCCTAAAACAATTTTTCAACGTTTTTTTTATATTTTCACTTAATACTAAGTGACAGATACTTTTAAAAAGCACTGAAAATCAGTCGATAGAGTTGTTTTTCTTAGTGAACTTACCTTATATCTACGTTTTAAAACATACCTGAAAATCAGTCGATAGAGTGGTTTTTCTTAGTGAACTTTCCTTATATCTACGTTTTAAAACATACTTTAAAATATTTTTGTGATTTTATTCGCATTATTAGCTTCTATTCTTAATATTTATGTATTATATTATGTGTTGTATGTCTACGTATGTGTGTATGTATTTCTTTAAACTGTTCTTTAAAGGTTAATTATGGAATGGTATTTTTAAGAGGACAAACAAGAGTTAGCACTGTTATTAACAACACTATTTTCGTTAGTATTTAAATGAATATTGATGGTTTGTATGGCAAATGTTTGAATCTAAATAATAAGTTTATAAAAAATCATTTTATATTTATTTGTGGCAAAGCTGGTGAACTTTAACTAAACTTTAACTGATTTACTTAACTCAGCGCTGACAGCTCAAGAAGCGCTAACAAACGCACTACTACTACTACTACTACTTTTACTGCAACTACCACTGCTACTACTACTACTGCTGCGGTTGCAGCTACTACCACTACTACTAATAATACTACTTAGTAAGGTAGCAAAGTGCTGTAGTTATATAATAACTACCTACCTACCTATCTGTTTCATAAAGTTTTCTGATATCTTGAACTGTGCGTATGTATTGTGTTGACGAAGTATTTTTATTTCATCTCTCATAACGTAAACATCACAATCGGTATCGTCTATATCATTATAAGCACATGTACACAAAACCATTATAACCAACTTCATCGTCGTCATCATCATCTTCATCGTCATCATTTTTTTCGTTCAAATAGAAAATCGATAGATATATTATGCATGCAAATGAGCTGAAACACACACACACACACAAAACAAAAACATACAAAAACAAACATATTATTGTCATTAACAATGTTATTATTATTATTTTTAAATTATTATCATTATTATTATTATTATTTATTATTATTATCATCATCATCATTATATTACTATCAGTTTACTAGAAACTTACTAAGTGATAACTTTTTCAATGAAATTTCAGAACCATTCTTGAAATCATTGTGGAGAAAAAACGAAACGAGTAAAAATTCACAACTAAAACAACATCGTCAACAACAACAACAGCAACAACAACAACAACAACAACAACAACAGCAACAACAACAACAACAGCAACAACAATAATAATAATAGTGATAGTAATAATAATAAGATCGCCGTATCCACATTTGCACAACTGTTTCTTTGAAACATAAATTAGTAAAAAAGATTTTAGTAAAAAAAACAGAGACGACAAAAAATAATAAATAAACAAATAAAATATGGCCAAAGATAATAAATCGAAAGGTAACCAAGATGGCGGAAGGAATTCCCCGACGGATTTGCAAGAGATTCAACTGCAGATGAATGCAACTACGGACGAGGTAATGATGGTGAATGAGATAACGATGATTATGATGTTGTTGGTGGTGATAATTGAAATATAGATAATGATGTTAATGAGGATGATGATGATGATGATGATGATGGTGATGATTTTCGTTCGTTCTATCATTCATTCATTCAATCAAACATTCATTCATTCGTTCGTTCGTTCATTCGTTCGTTCGTTCATTCGTTCGTTCGTTCATTCATTAATTCATCAATCAACTAACCAATCAATCAACCAATCAATCAAAAATTCAGTCACTTGAAAGCACACGACGCATGCTGGCTCTCTGTGAGGAGGTAAGATAAAGCAGGAATATTTTATAATTTATTTAAAATTACTACTGCTACTGCTGCTGCTACTATTACTACCATTACTACTATCACAGCTACAGCTACAACTACTACTACTACTACTTCTATTACTAAACTACTATTGCAACAAGAACAACTATATCTACAACTCTTACTACAAATAATGATGTTTTAATCGCGCAAACACGGGGTTGTTAAGAGCACTCGAAAATTGTATGGTTTGCCAAAACCAATAACGAAAGTTTTGTCGGCAATAACAATGTCAACACTTTGGAAGGTTGAAAAAATTCGCTCTTTAAAAGATTTTAAGGCACTGGAAAAAACGTTCCAGCATGTAAAAGACTGTAGTGTAGGTGCAACAATTTTTTAAAAACAAACAAACAAGACGTAGCATGAAATCTCATTTTAAATCTCAAATTCAACACTAAATGCGCGTTCAATTTGTCGCTCAAAAGTACCGGTATTGAGTAGCAGGTTTTTTTTATTCGTCTAAAATGTATCTGCGATCTCATAATCGGTACTCGGTTTCGAAATTAATACCGAATAAGTTGGCGATACATCGCTTGTGACAAACCCCGTGCAAACCGTTCATTACATTATTACTCTACAAATGTATCAAAATAACCAACCAACCAACCAACCAAACAACCAAACAACCAACCAACCAACCAACACGCAGAGTAAAGACGCAGGCATAAGGACACTTGTTATGTTGGATGAGCAAGGAGGTTGGTGACGTCACACATACGTCATTTACATCATCGTTCGTTCATTAAATAGTAGCGATTAAACTTTTGTGCCAAAAAGTCTGTACATGCACATACACTTGTGTGTGACCTATACACGTACACATGAATCATGCGAGCAAATGAATGTCTTTAAGTTCTTGCAGAGACGGGATTTGAACCGGGACGAAGCGTAATAAGAATAAGTAACTAGGCATAGCACTTCTTTAGTTAGGACTAACTCGTCAATCATCATAATCAACACGAATGACGTCATCACCATCGTCATCATAACCATCAACATCGACATCGCCATCATTGTAGAGCAACTGGACCGCATAGAAGAGGGCATGGACCAGATCAACCAGGATATGCGCGACGCTGAGAAGAATTTGGAGGGGATGGAGAAGTGCTGTGGTCTCTGTGTGCTGCCCTGGAAACGGTTACTCATTTATTTGTTCTTTCTTTCGTTCATTCAATTCACTCATTCGTTCGTTTGTTCGTTTGTTCAATTCATTTATTTGTTCACACGTATGTTCAAACATTTACACACACACACGCACACACGTACAGAACAAAGAACTTTGACAAAGGAGCCGAGTGGAACAAAGACGACCAAGGAAAAGTGAACACGGATGGACCCCGCGTTGTCGTCGGAGATGGCAATATGGGACCAAGTGGCGGATTCATTACTAAGTCAGGAATTATCATAATTTATGCTAATTTATGTTGATAATCTAATCAACCAGCCAACAACAAACAAGCATACAAACAAAAAAAACAAACACCAAATAGCAAACCGACTAGTTTCTCATGAACGAATATCTGATTGGATGATTGGTTGACCGACCGACCCTCTCTGAGCAACCAACCAACCAACCCGTTGAAAACTAACCAATCAACTAACCAACCAACCTACCAACCAACCAATCAATCACTCAACCACTCAACTCAACCGCAGAATCACCAACGATGCCCGAGAGGAAGAGATGGAGCAGAACATGGGCGAGGTGAGTAACATGATCAGCAACCTCAGAAACATGGCAGTCGACATGGGCAATGAAATAGACTCGCAGAATCGCCAGATTGATATCATCAATCAGAAGGTTGGTTGACTGATTGGCTAATTAGTTGGTCAGTTGATTGACTGGCTATATATTTGATTGATTGTATAGTCAATCAATCATTCAATTTTTCAACATCATCAACGCATTTTCATTGCCATCCTCATCGCCATCATCATCATCATCGTCACCGGCATTACCGCCATCGATACCACCATCACCACCACCACTACCATCATCTACCACCCCTACCATCATCTACTACCACTGCCATCATCTACCCCGTCATCATCATCATCATCATCATCATCACGACAGACAACATCGAACCAGTTGCGTATAACGGACGCTAACAAGAGAGCCAGCAAGTTGCTGAAGGACTGAAGAAGAGGAGGAGGAGGAGGAAGAAGAAGAAGAGGATGATAAAGAAGATGATGGTGGTAGTGGTGATGATGATGATGCATGCAATGGTGATGATGATGATTATCATCCAAGTGAGCCAGAGGCCAAGAGTTAAATGCGATCTCCCCATTCAACTCATTCCGACATACATATGCTGATTTTTATTCATTAACGTTACTACAAATGTATTTTTTTCACCTTTCAAATTTTATTTTCGTTTCGTTTCGTTTTCTCATTCTCGTTTTAACACTTTGGGCGATAATTACTTTGGTATATGAACCGTAATAAAAGGTTAAAACAAAATTAAGGTAAGATTAAGGTAAGATTATGGTAGGATTAAGATAAGATAAGCCATCTGTTCATCTAAATTTATGGTATGATCAATATATCATTAAGATCAAGAAAGATTAAGATGTGGGAACGTTAGAATCTTAAAAATTGAATTTGCCAAGAATTGAAATATAGTCAATAATTGAAATATAGTCAAGAATTAAAATATAGTAGAGAATTGAAATGATATTAAATCAATTAAGGTTAAGGCGGGATTGAAATAAAACAAAAACATGATTGAGGTAGGATTGAGTTTATATTCAATCAATATTAATCCGTGATTTTTTGTATTATCTAATTAATTTTAATTCAAAATGATTTAGCTAATGTAAATGTTATATATATATATATAATCTATAAATTCTACCGAATGCTTGGCGTTAATATGTTTGTAGTTCGTTTTTTCGATTTTTCTCACTAAAGTTTTTTGGTGAACGTTTAGTTTATTAAAATTCAAAATAAACTTATTTTTCGAATTCATGCTGCAAATAAGGC